TTTGCATTCTTTAAGCACCCTGGCAAACACTTCATCCGGCCCTGGGGATTTGTTTGGTTTGAGTTTTACTATTTGTTTAAGAACATCCTCCCTGGTAACTGTTAAACTCGTCAACCTGTCCTCGTCCCCACCCACATAGACTTGTTCGGCTGAAGGCATATTGTTAAGTTCCTCTTTAGTAAATACAGATACAAAATATTTATTAAAAATACTACTCATCTCTTCATCACTATCTGTTATTTGACCTGTCTCAGTTTTTAATGGACCTATCCTTTCCCTAGTCTTAGTACGATATAACTGAAAAAACCCTTTAGGATTTGTCTTTGCTTGCCCTGCTATGCGAACTTCATAGTTTCTTTTTGCTTTCCTTATCTCTTTTTTAACATTTCTAACCAGTTGTACGAATTCCTGTTCTAAAGTGACCTCCCCATTTTTAATCCTTTTGTACCAAGCTCTCTTTTTACCTATAAGGTTCTTCAAATTCTTTGTTATCCACTTTGGGTCATTAGTATTCGATCTATTCAATTTGTATGGTATACTACGTTCCTGTGCTTTGTTTAGAATATTCTTAAATAAGTTATATATTGAATCCACATCGAAATCCCCATTTAAGTCACCTATCGCTGGGTTCATGTCTCGCTCCAAGACCGGCCCACACCCCATACCCAAGACTTTCCAATCAATTTGACCCAAAAAATTTCTTAGGCTATTAAAATCAGCTTTACGAAAATCTGGCACTTTAACAGAATTTTCTCCTACTGGTCTATTCCATTCTATGCTAAATCTGATTTCTTTGTGATCACTGCTCCCTAGCTCACTCCCTATTTCGATGTCATTAATTTGCGTTTCCCTGTTAGTTAACACTAAATCTAAAATATTATTTTCCCGTGTTGGTTCCTTAATGTGTTGCGTAAGAAAGCAATCGTCAATTAATTCTAGAAAATCTTCTGCTTCACTATTCCCTGTTTTGTTCAACCAGTTTATTCCGCTAAAATTAAAGTCACCCATGACATAAATACTGTTAGATCTAGATGCTCTAGATATTTCATCCCATAGATGCTTTGCTTCCATTCTGTCTAAATTTGGTGGCCTATATATTACTCCTATTATAATATTATTAGCTTTTTCGTTTAATTCAATCCAAATAGTTTCTGTGTGTGGCTCTGTTTTGATTCCCTCTTTGAGACTACATTTCAAATTGTCCCTAACATATATGGCTACTCCACCTCCTCGTCTAATATATCTATCTGTGTGAAATAGTTTAAATCCATATATTTGATATTCAGCTAATAGTTCTCTATTTTCTACATTCATCCACGTTTCGGTAAGTGCAATAATATCTATTTTTTCTGTGCAGACAAGAGCATTTAATTCGTTAATTTTATTTCTTAGACTTCTACTGTTAGTGTAATATACCCTAAGTGAATTGTTATTTTGCGGACCTTCTCTTTCCCTGGTCGTTTTGCCAATTCCTTTCTCCCACAAACACATACTTTTATTACCTCCTTCCTCCAAATCAATTCCCATACCTCTATCTACTAACAGTTTAAACCCAAACAAACACCTCTAACCACTTCTTCTAACGAGTTCGCAACAGCAACAACCCCAGCTCTCGATAGATGCACCCCATCACGAGCATACATTTCATTTCTTCCATAGAAGTGTTCCCAGTTGTCTATGAAAGATATTGCATTTGATTTGCAATATCTTTCCAGCCGGCAATTGACACCAAGTGCCCTCGATATCCATTCATTTCCCACTCCCTTTCTTGGAAGAATGCCACATATGATCGGGATTCCTCCCTTGCTCCTAACTAACTCTATGGCTGTTTTATACCTCTGAATCAGTTCCTCACTCCTAACTCGACCAACATCATTTCCTCCCACGCTAATGCAAATAATGGGATTGTTCCCATTACCAGCCATAATATCATTCATGTTGTTTATAATATCACCAATGCCAGCTCCGGGATAGCAAACCCTTAACCTGTTCCCCCTATCTCTAGCACAAAACGTTCTATCCAAATACCTTATCTGGGAATCTCCCACAACTAATGTTTGCTTAGGTACTTCCTTTACCCTCTGAGGGGCCTGCGCTTCCTTTCTCTTCGTTGCTTTCCCTTTTGCGCGATCCACAGTCTCTCCACAGCACTCGTCCTCCAAAACGTCAAATGAATTAGAGGTTGCTATGGCGTTTGAAGGCGGCTTTATCAAAGTCTTCTTAAGGCCCCTGTCTTTCACAACTCTCCAAGACGAGGTCCCTTTACTGCTGGTCTCCTCCTTCGTTACTTCTCGTTGTTCTTTAAGCTGACGCACCTCCTCCCGCAGAAAGTCCAACTCTGTCCTCAGGGCTCCCACTAGAGTCACCAGGTCCTTAACTACAACTTCCATATTGCTATGATGATATAACAACACTGACATGACTGAAAAAGCAGCACAAATACAATAGGTTGACAAACAGTGTTGATTAAAAAAAAAAAAGAAAATAACAGACATGGGTTGACAATAGAGGAGTGAGGTAGATTACAGGGAATTTATTAGGTAGTGTTTAGTTTTTATCTTAAACTGGTTGAGAGAGGTACAGTCTTTAACATGGTTGGGAAGGTCATATACATTTACCATCAACACATTCAGAACATCGCGAGTGTGAGCAGCCACACCCACACAAGCCCTCCCTCACTCCAACATCTTACTCGCCAACTTAGCTCCTCCCACCATACTGTCGTTGTTTTTATTACACTATTTATACATGTTATATATACTTATCTACATGTTTTATTTACTAGAACTATGCAAGTAAGCCGGTATTGTGTCCAAACAGTACAGTGGCCATCATACACTGCATGAGAAATTACACAGCAGACAGCAGACGACGCTACAATTACGACGTCACATCCCTCATCAAAATAGCTCGTATGGGCCAATAGAAGCTGCCTCGTATGGGCCAATAGGAGCTGCCTCGTATGGGCCAATAGGAGCTGCCTCGTATGGGCCAATAGGAGTTGCCTCGTATGGGCCAATAGGAGTTGCCTCGTATGGTCCAATAGCAGCTGCCTCGTATGGGCCAATAGGAGTTGCCTCGTATGGGCCAATAGGAGTTGCCTCGTATGGGCCAATAGCAGCTGTCTCGTATGGGCCAATAGGAGCTGCCTCGTATGGGCCAATCCTGGTCACTAATTTCTGTAAATGAATAATTGACCACAAGTTTATTTTGAAAAGGAACCTAAGAAGTCGTTTGAAGATTCCTAGATGAACGAAATAATGCTGTGGTGCTGTGGCTAGCGCTGTGAACATCGTAAACAACATTGAATCACTGATATTTGAACATTGTACCCAGTCATTATCCCACTCAGGCTCTTCTATAATACTATCACGGCTAAATATTACAGGTTATATAAATATTTTGACATTATTAGGCGATGCTATGGTCACACGCTGAACAGCAGAGCTGTGCGCTCATGCTGCAAGCGCCAGCCTTGGTTGCTCACTCACTACTAAGGCTCTGACACCCAGCAATGTGGACCATGATTTTTTTTAAAGATGGCGTCTGTTTACAAGAGCCCTGAGGAAGCTGATGTGAACCCCATGTATCCGCGGGAGTTTTGAATGGAACGTGAAAAATAAAAACACCTGGAGGCGCGTTGTGCACCCGAAGCCTGGGCCTGGAGGCGCGTTGTGCACCCGAAGCCTGGGCCTGGAGGCGCGTTGTGCACCCGAAGCCTGGGCCTGGAGGCGCGTTGCACAGTTAAAGGGTTAAGGGTGTATTTTCAAGGAGCAGCGAGGTACGTAGGATCGAGTTTTGGGGAGAATGCGTATTGTTTTAGAAGCTTCATTTCTATAGTTTGAATATTTCAATTGATATGAGCACCAAGGAATTCATAGGGCCTAAACCCAGCACCAAAACAAACCCTTTCTGTTGTGATGCGCTCTAGAGAATGCTAGTTCTCGAACTCCTAAACTCGCCCTCTATATAGCGCGAGCGCTGGCCTGGGTTCGTATCCTGGCCGGGGAGAATTGACCGGATGCCAGTCCTTAGCTGGAGCCTCTGTTCACCCAGCAGTGACTGGGTACCTGGTTGTTAAAACGATTTGGCGGGTCGTATTCCGGGGAAAAAATAGGATTAAGGACCTGCCCGGAACGTTATGCATGCTGGTGGCTTTACAAGAATGTCAAATCAAATGTTTATTTAGGTAAACGTACATACAAGATGAGTTACAAACATTATGTTGGATTTCTAGATAGAGCTAGTACATACAATCTCTAAACCCACTTATACGCACAACGTTTCGGGCAAGCGTAAGAACTTTTGTATATATAAATCAAGGCAAATGGGGGGAACTTCGACAAGCTGCCGGCTTCATGTCCTCGTCGAGGTCACTAGGGTTAGTGGCCCTCGGGTAAATCAGGTAAAAATAAATAAAACGGTAATATTTTTTTATCGTAGTTACTCTTTCACACAAAGAAAACTAACACTTGAAGAAAGAAAACTAAATTAAAGGAATAACTGCTTCTAATCTAGTAAACGTTTCGTGTTGAGCTCTTTAATACAATACAATACAATTTTATTTAGGTAAGGTACATACATACAATAAATATTTACAAGGATTGTTTGACTTATAGGTATAGCTAGTACATACAATGCCTAAAGCCACTATTACGCAAAGCGTTTCGGGCATACCGGGCATTTCGGGCATGTTTTTTTTTTAATAAGAATGTAAATACTAGAATGAATGGTATATATGCTTGTGTTTCTAACCCTCGCGAGGACTGAACACGGGTCCCTTGGTTAAGAGACGGGCAAGTATTCCACAGTGTACAGGACACTAATGTATTTCGATTTACAAGAATGTAAGAATGCTTACAATTTCGATCACTTAAAATAATGTAAGAACTGTTTTATATATATAAATAAATAAATAACAATTAAGTTCGGAAAACACCTTCCATGCTGGATGTGTAACTGAAGTAAAAATGTCTGAAGTAACATAACACTGATTGCAGGTCAGGACCTGCCCATTGGTGACAATGCGGAAGAGAATAAAACGCTTGATGGTCGTTCTCTACGGGGCAGTGCTGTTGCTCCTGGGCTCCATCCTGTTTAGCAGCTCCTACTCTCCCGACCTTGTATATAAAGGCTCGTCCAAGCTACACGAAAATGCAGCTATTCACGCAGGGGATTCGAACGACGGAGTTCCGTTAAATCTAGGAATATTGTACTCCCTGGAGAACAAGATGTATCCGGATCTGCAGAAGTGCTCCAACATACCTCTGCGTGCCCAGAACTACCACCGGGGGGACTACTGGGTCCTGCAGAACTACATTCCAGCAGACATGTCCTTCGGGTGTAATGAGTCCATCACCTTCACCACTCACGCCGACTACACCTTCCTCACTAACCTCGACCCGGTCACTGCTCGCTGGCAGGTGAGTCGACACCCCCTCGACCCTGATTACCCTCGACCCTCATCACCCTCGACACTCATCACCCTCGACTATTCTCAGGTTTTGTTCAACAATGTCCCAAGAGATTTACCAGACTCGTCTCGTCTGTTTACTTCAGTTAGCCCGTCCATGTTGCAGCGTTAGAGAATGTGGACGGAATACGGACTTATACACATGTGAATGTTAATAATTTAGCTTATTGGAAATGAACACAGTATTGCAAGAAATAAAACAGCAATATTACGTATCCTAGGCCTAAGAAGGCCTAACTTTGCATATCATATGTCTAACCTGATGTATCTAAGGCTTTATTAATGTGTATATAAGTACTAAAATAACCAATAATACATTAAGTTTTGCCTAGAATAACTGACATTAGGCCTATCATATGGTTGTTGCTGCTTTCCTTTTTTTAATCTTGTATGTCTCTCTCTTTACATTTCCAGCAGGACAATTTGAGATCTGTTATATATATGTTTAAATTCTAAACATATATATGTTTCGGCTTTATATATGGTCGATTCTAAATTCTCCCCATATATCTTCCTGTCACCGTATTCAGGTTTCTTATTGGAGGATGCCTTCATATACATGCCTTGAGGTTGCCTTGAGGTGCTTCCGGGGCTTAGCGTCCCCGCGGCCCGGTCGTCGACCAGGCCTCCTGGTTGCTGGACTGATCAACATACATATTCCATACATATTCTATTCTATACAACATACATATGGGAATACATATTCCCAATAATTACCACCATGCTGGTCAGCATCACCACAAGAGCTGCTAACCCGAAATTACGAAATTACGAAATTACTGCTAACCCGAAACCATTACGTTTCTGCCTGAAACGCTTTGCGTAATAGTGGCTTTAGGCATCGTATGTACTAGCTCTATCTTTAAAGCCAACAAACTTTGTAAAATCTCTATGTATGTACATTACCTAAATAAAAATTATTATTATTATTATTAAACCCTGCAGGGGCCCGTGAGTATGTCGGTGTACTCTCCTGGCGAGGACTTCGAGGCCACCGTCGCCACCATCATGTACCTCCGGGAGTGTGTCAGCTGGGAGATCAGGAAGTTGGTCACATTCCATCTCATCTTTCACGATGCCCACGCACCGAGAGAGGTAAGGGGCGCTTGAGGAGACGCTGTAAAGACGTTACTATCCAGTGATGTTTGGTGAGCTCTGGGTCTGAGTGTCGGCAAGGAAGCAAAGTCGTTATTCTGGATATTTAAGTTGGGTTTATTTTTTTATCTTTTAAGTATAGCTTCCAGGAATTGCACTCGTCAGTGCTAGTTGCCAGGATCTTTGTGTTATTTACTAGCATGTTGTTAGTGTGTGTTGTGTTATGCTCAGTTTGCTTATGGTGTCTGGGAGCACCAGCTTGTAGATGACAGGTCAGTCTTCCCGAAAGACTGCCAATATAAGTAGATCGAATGTGACATACTTCATTGGGGCGTGTAAACTGGTATACTACGTTTGCTTTTTGGAGAGGGTTGTATTGTATATTGGGGCTGTTCTTGAGTATTAAATCAGCAGTCCTTTTTGTTTGGTGGTAAATAATGAAGTCCATATATTGGTCTGCGGTGGTCGGTTTCATTCCATATGAAAAACTGAATGTTATTATTTTCCTCCTGATTTATACTCTAACGTAACTATTATTAAAGAGGTGAATGGAGGTGGCTTCCACAGCCTCCTCTTCCAGGTCCTTTCACGTATCTCACAGCATGTGTACTTTATTACATCTCTTAAACTCGTATATATATATATATTTATTTATTTTCTAAACGTGGAACAGAGGATACCTGTCCACTTCAACTCTTCCCTTGTATATTGTAATCATGTTTCAACTGGTCGGCTCGTTTTTACATCGTTGGTAAATAGAATAGCGGAATAACTAACTATTATTTAAGGTAAATTGAATTTCCTTAAAATCACTTTTCCCTTCTGAATGCACATATTGCTGCCCCCAGCCATCTAGTAGCTCGTGTATTCAATTTCTGAATATCCTTATTCTTCACAAGGTGAGAATTTAATACCATTTTATGAATGGTTTGTAATAAGCAAGTAAAGAGTTCTCGATTATTTTTTTATTTATTTCTATTTTCTGTAATTTCATGTAAGCGAACAATGTAAATTCTGTCAATTCTGTGTTATACATATGCCAAGCCGCTACCTAATATGTACACTATCAAAGAGTGACATTGGTTCGACGTTGAACATCATCAACGTTAATTCAACGTTTAATTAACGTTGAATTAAACGTTAATCTCCGTTGAATTGGAATTGCTGTTGGATAGTGTGTATCCGCTGGGGTTTTCATAGCCTAATTGTTGTGATTATCGTCTCCGTGGCGCACAGGTCCCCGCCACCGAGGCGCTGTTGGGAAGGAAGATTGACTGCTCGTCGGGGCCTCCTCACTTGACCAACGTCACCACCTACAGGAGGCGCATGAAGCTACTCTATCCAATCAACCTGGCCAGGAACGTGGCGAGGCTGGCGAGTCAGACTTACTTCGTCTTTCCGGCTGACGTGGAGCTATATCCCTCAGTCAACTTCATCCCAGGTGAGGTTGGCCTGTCCTAGGAGGCCGTGGACGTTGTTAATGGTGATAGAAGCATCGTAATGGCATTAATAGGAGGGCAAAACCTGAGAAACTAGTAGGGGCTGAAGAAGCAGAACTAGTAGCAGAATTAGCGGCATCAGTAGCGGAAGCAGAGCTAGCAGTAGCAGTAATTGAAGTAGAGCTAGCAGATGAAGTAGCAGTCTTCGAGTGAAAAAGTAAGTGAAGGTAAAATACATTAAAAGAGAGAATACATACGCACAGTTAATAAGGTGAGAGGTAAAGTATAGCAACGCATATTGTAAAGAAACAACAGGGTCAAGGAGACAAGGTAGTTTCAAGACATGTGACATCTTACAGATGATTCTCCGCTTACACAGGAATCCTCCTACTGTCTTAAAACATGGATTAAGAATGTGCAAAACTAATAATTCATACAAATGTGATTTTTTGTTAATTTGTATTGTAGCAAATTCATTAATATTCTTATTTATTGAACAAATCCACAAGGGCCGTGACGAGGATTCGAACCTACGTTCGAGAGCATCCTAGACGTGGATGCTTTGTTCATTTGATGCATCACGCTATTTGTGATTTCTTATTTAAAACGCTCTGACAATTGAGAGGGAGACCTTCTAATGATTTTGGTGAGAATTTTCAGGCAAATATTGCCTACTTTTACCCAACCACTTTGACCGGACGGTTGAGCAACGGTCTCGCTTCACGCAGATCGGCGTTCAATCCTGGACCGTCCAAATGGTTGGCCACCATTCCTTCCCACCATCCCATCCCAAATCCTTATCCTGACCCCTTCCAAGTGCCATAAAATCGTAATGGCTTGGCGCTTTCCCCTCATAATTAAAAACAAAATCCATTTCAGAGTTTTTCAAAATGCTTAAAAAACCGGATGTATCGAACACAACTGACCCACGAGTGTTCGTCTTGTCGATCTTCGAAGTCAAGAATAATGTGAAGGTCCCCGAGACCAAGAACGAGCTGCTGCCTCTACTGAAAACGGGAGAAGCCATTCCCTTCCATAAGCATCTTTGTCCTGCTTGTCACCGGATTCCTAAAGCGAAGGTAAGTACGCGGGTCCCGGCTAGTGTAGGGAGCAGTACTTGTAGGTACTTGTAGGCTCCTACAGTAGGGAGCCAGACAGGAAGGTAGGGCGGGAGATTTGAGATTGTCGAGTCTTCTGAGCAGACAAAAACAGAGTTGAATAGCTCACTTGCTCATTTCATTTTTTCACTGTGGTTATTCTGCATATATACATATATATATTTTTCATTCACTTACACCATCATCAGGACCTCGTACTCACGACCACCGGAGTGAAAGACGGGAACTCTACCGACCTTACTACGAATATCCACATTAAGAAGTGTTATTTCCATGTTTACTGAGGTTTTGCTCGGTAGGTAGAGCTGGGGGTCTGCTGCTTCTGTGTTCTGCGGGTCGAGGCTCAGATGGTCCAAGTGAATTAAATTATCCACAAGATGGTGGTTAGAAGTTTGTATGACTAGGACGTGGATCACCTCTATAGGACCTTCGTGCCAAAGTGCCACCCCATGGAAGACCCAAAGTTTCAGTTGGACAGCAGATAGGTGTCTCTCGAATTACACACACACACACACACACGCACACGCACACACACACACACACACACACACACACACACACACACACACACACACACACACACACACACACACACACACACACACACAGAGTAAAGGCAGCATATATTAATATTTGTAAAGAGTTAATCTTGTCTACAGGAAAATCACGAAACTGATACATGTCAAAATATTGGCTGCAACCCATCCTCTTATTTTGATATATTCCTAGGCCTAGTATAGCACACATATGTACTATATTAGGCCTCAGATATTGTGTATTAGGCCTACGAAGGTTAGTTTAGTTTGTCAACAACAGATATAAAAAATAGTTTTCCGGTTTGTCCAACTCAATAGTTCAGATTTCTGCTTTCTAATTTCGTTGTGCGTCGGTATATATACTCTGGTCCTCATCGTTACTACAAGTACTACCAAAACAGGAGGATGAGCTGAAGTATGAGGTTAGTATACTGGTTTACATTTTCCGGTAGGAGTGGCTGGATGCTCCAGTAGAGCCCGGCATGTCTGTCTTCCACGTGGCTAAGAGAACACTGCCTCACCAGTCCTGGGAGCCCATATACGTCGGTACCAACCAGGAGCCCTTGTACGACGAGAGGCTCTCTTGGGAGGGCAAAAGTGATAAGATGACCCAGGTTAGTGTCCCTTGTGTTCTTACGTAAATTCATCCTGTCTCTGTCTCTCTGAGGCTCAGTTTTGCAACCAAAAGAACTGAACGTCAGTAAATGTAGTTAACAATACTGAATAGCCCTCAGTGTCTTCTAATACGGTTATTCTCCCTTCCAAGCTACCCCCATCACCACCTTTACCACCACCATTCCCCGCCACCACCCCTTCCCAAACCCTCTACCACACTCCAACTCCCCACCATGACTCTAACCCCCATCCCCCATATCCTCGACCCCACCATTAAGACCCTCCTCACTCCCCCTCCTCCCCCAGATGTACGTCATGTGCCTGGACAAGTACGAGTTCCACGTGCTGGACACGGCCTTCCTGGTGCACCGACCGGGGATCAAGACCTTGTCCAGAGACGCCTTCCGGAACGGCGTCATCGCCTCTCAGAACACTCTACTCAACACTAAGATCAAGCCTGAATATAGACTCATCTATGGCTCGGGGAATAACTGCTCCTTGTGACTATAAGAACATATTAAGGAAATTACAGCAGGACTGTTAGCCCATACGAGGCAGCTCATATTAATATCCACCCCCAAACTCATTCATAGTTGTGTCTAACCTACGCTTGAAACAATCATGTGATCTTACACGTCTATTATATTACTCGGTGAAACAAAAATTGTGCAGCTCTTTTTGACTAACCAGAAACGTACAAACCCAAGCAACCCACCAAACCCTGGCCTCATATGTACCGGGCTTGGAGAGTGTGAGAACTCTCAGACCACAATCCAGGTATTATCCAGGTAACTATCCGTGGCAGATGCATAAGGGAAGGGAATTATCAGGGAAATCGCCAAGCCATTACGACTGTATAGCACTTGGAAGGAGTCAGGATAAGGATTTTGGGATGGGGGGAAGGAATGGTGCCCAATCACTTGGACGATCGGGGATTGAACGCCGACCTGCATGTGGCAGATGAATAGAAAATATCGATTTTATGGTGCTTTACGTTTTATTAATACGTCGAATTTTTAAGTGACGCTCGGCTGATGCTTCGTAATTATAGTAGTAATTATGGGCTTGTATTCCAGTGAAATATAATTTTCCCGTTGTGTTATGGTTAACTATATGGCGTAAGACAATCCTTATTTATATGGAAGAGGATTTCAACACAAGATTGTGTTTCTTGCGGTATAAAGCATCGCATCTCGTGTCCTCTGCAGCCACGTCCAGAAATGCTAGCACAAAATGGCTTTGTTATATTTATAAATTATTATATTACAAAATATGTAATGTGATCAAACCAACCCTAGTCTTGTAATATCTATATATTAAACTCTACACAAAAATATGCAGAATCCTAACCAACAACTGAACCTAAGTCCTATATATATTCAGTCTTCAAGTCTAATGCAGTTCACACAGTTCATGTAGTACACTTAGTTAGGTTTGTAAAGATTTTCCACTGTTGTATATGTATAAAATTGAATCATTTTGCAGAGTATCCCTGAACCAACAGGTCCAGGGTGGCGTGTAGAGGCACATCACAGTCTGAAACGTCTGTGAAAGCCCATAGCAGGGCTGTCTTAGGGGTCACACCATGCACCTTAGGTCACACCATCCGCCTAAGGTCACACCATGTGTCTTAGGGGTCACACCATGCACCTTAGGTCACACCATCCGCCTAAGGTCACACCATGTGTCTTAGGAGGTCACACCATGTGTCACATTACTTGCCAGCCAGACAGTACTCAAGTCAGACACGGGGCCACACTGATCCCACCTAGAGAACAATTCTTACAAAACATCTGGCGCACCTTTCAGTCCTGTGTTCCTGTGGAGGGAAGGGATGGAGGGAGCCGGAGGGAAGGGATGGAGGGAGCCGGAGGGAAGGGGTGAGATAAAGGGAAGGGGGAAGGGAGAAGAGAGCTTAAGGGAGGAAGAGAGACGGGGCAGCTGGGTGTCCGATGATAGCAGAAACCCATAAACTGCGACAACAATTAGCTGGATCACGTTGTAAGCACCCTGAAGAAGGAGAGCAATGTTGACGTATTGACACTGCTGATTGGTCTTCCTGGAAGCGGTGAGGAAACGAGGTTGTTGGATTGTTATGGATGGAGAGGGGAGGATAAAGATGGCTAGATTCTCGCTAAAGTAGAGTAAAGTAGAGTAAAGTAGAGGTGATGTTTAGTGTTAGTGTGAGTGTCAACACATCCCATCCCACTTCACCTGACTGTGCCATTAAACAACCAAGCAGTAAGCAAAATCACCAGTATAATGACAACATACAACATACACAAGGATACATACAGACATATACTAATTACAAGTGGACCGGTCCTGTTTATATATACATAGTACTGACCAATAGTTAAATAATAACCACAAATGCTGCACAATTTCACTAATGATTCTCCACAATAATTCAATCTACTCCACTTAAAGACATTATTAATGTTTACAAAGGGCTAAAATACACCATGTACAAAAGTTACTTAAATGAGCTGAGTTGAGGATGACTAATGACCATTTGGGGCTCGCATGACGACCCACATGTCCGTTATATCCTGTTATCCTAGCAGATCTGGTTTAGTCTTCATGCCCTCTGTTATCCTAGCAAGGTCTGGTTTAGTCATCAAGCTCTCTGTTATCCTAGACAGTTCAACTCGCTTCAGTATGAAATTCAACCTGAACCAATTCTCAGAAACAGTTGAGGACCTTTGACAAGTCGCCGGCTTCCTGTACCCGTCAAGGTTATTAGAAATTCAGGTAAATGTTTAGGTTTCTGGATGCTGCCTTTGGGTGGTGTGTTTGGCCTGCTGGGCGGATGGTGGAGTGGGCGGTGTGGCCGACGGTGTGACAGTGTGGCCGACGGTGTGGCGGTGTGGCCGACGGTGTGACCGACGGTGTGACGGTGTGGCCGACGGTGTGACGGTGTGGCCGACGGTGTGACGGTGTAGCAGACTGTGTCACAGTGTGGCGTTGTAAAACAAGTGAAAACTAAGAGTGGTTCAATGTTCTCGTTGTCACCCTTAGAACAAGCGATGCCCTGATGACATATCGACGAAGTTTATTATGAAACTGAACTCGATCATTCACAATCTGTGAAGCAGATGTTATCCTTTTGGTCACTGAATTTGACCAAAACATGTATTAAGTTTATGCACAGAATATTCCAAGATGAGAAGAACGCTTCTACACCGAGCATTTCAAGGACCTCTTACTATTGGCTACAATGCAGAATGTACATAAACAACTTTGATTGCAATAACTAAGCATAAGGAACACAGATAGAAACACACTACAATCTAGCTACATACTCGACCCCATGTTTCCATATGTGTGAGTTATAATGTTGGGAAAATTATACTCACACAGAACGAGTTACTTTAGGAAGGCAGTAATCTCAATTCATCCTTCCTCTATTGTTCTTCATTATTATTCGTAAATTATTTATTTCTACATTACAGAGAGTGAGATACAATGATTGTATTACCAAGCGAGGTCCGGGGGGGGGGGCTCTACGCGACGTCCATACACACTCTAAAGAGCTTTGTGTATAATTGAATGTCCACGTCTGAGGAAAGTGTAAGCTTCAGAAATAAAATCTTGAAAGAGTGAAAGCACGTGGCTATCGTGTGCTTACACTTAGTGGCACGACTTGCAACATTCTTCCATGCTTACTTACATACACAAGTTGCAGAGAGGTGCTGTGCCTAGCCACACACACACACACACACACACACACACACACACACACACACACACACACACACACACACACACACACACAGGAGATGCAGGAGATGCAGGCTGGAGATGGAGATGCAGGCTGGGGTGAGAGGGAAGGTACTCCGGTGGATAGAGGAATACCTAAGCAACAGGAGACAACGAGTCTGTGTGAGGGGTGAGGCCTCAGATTGGCGAGACGTCACAAGTGGAGTCCCGCAGGGGTCAGTCCTTGGACCTATACTGTTTCTGGTATATGTAAATGATCTCCCAGAGGGTATAGATTCGTTCCTCTCAATGTTTGCCGACGATGCAAAAATTATGAGGAGGATTGAAACAGAGGATGATAGTAGGAGGCTACAAGATGACCTGGATAGACTGAGTGAATGGTCCAACAAATGGCTGTTGAAGTTCAACCCGAGTAAATGCAAAGTAATGAAACTAGGCAGTGGAAACAGGAGGCCAGGCACAGGATACAGAATAGGAGATGAAGTACTTAATGAAACAGACAGAGAGAAAGATCTAGGAGTTGATATCACACCAAACCTGTCTCCTGAAGCCCACATAAAGAGAATAACGTCTGCGGCATATGCGAGGCTGGCTAACATCAGAACGGCGTTCAGGAACCTGTGTAAGGAATCATTCAGAATCTTGTACACCACATATGTAAGACCAATCCTGGAGTATGCGGCCCCAGCATGGAGCCCGTACCTTGTCAAGCACAAGACGAAGCTGGAAAAAGTCCAAAGGTATGCTACTAGACTAGTCCCAGAACTAAGAGGCATGAGTTATGAGGAAAGGCTGCGGGAAATGCACCTCACGACACTGGAAGACAGAAGAGTAAGGGGGGGACATGATCACAACCTACAAAATCCTCAGGGGAATCGACCGGGTAAACAAGGATGAACTATTCAACACTGGTGGGACGCGAACAAGGGGACACAGGTGGAAGCTGAGTACCCAAATGAGCCACAGAGACGTTAGAAAGAACTTTTTCAGTGTCAGAGTAGTTAGTAAATGGAATGCATTAGGAAGTGATGTGGTGGAGGCTGACTCCATACACAGTTTCAAATGTAGATATGATAGAGCCCAATAGGCTCAGGAATCTGTACACCAGTTGATTGACGGTTGAGAGGCGGGACCAAAGAGCCAGAGCTCAACCCCCGCAAGCACAATTAGGTGAGTACACACACACACACACACACACACACACACACACACACACACACACACAGGGCGGGGGGTGGTGTTCATCCTGGCCTGGAGTCATGTTCACTCACATGTTGAGTGATGCTGAACAATAAACTCACTTTCGGGCCAAATAAACCCAGCAACCCACGTGAGAGGAAGTAAACATGCCATTAATGGGCTAGTGTGGACCCGTTACCCCATGAATGGGCTCACTCAATAAGCAAACACAAACATACACACACATACACACACACACAGGATACACTCACACTGCCGTCAACTGTAATACTATCCCTGAATTTTTTTTCCTTTCAACACCCCAGCATCAGTTTTGGGCTTACAAAAACAGGTGGATGTAGTGCCTCTACTTTTTGTTTTTTTCGTCACTTTATTGTACTTTTGACGAGAGAGAACAATACCTCAACACAACACAGTGTTAGTGTTCTGTAAACGTTGCTAGAGAAGCTCCAAATTTGTGTTGCATATATTTGTCTTAAGCTTCATACTTCCTTGTCATCGAGCATGGCACTCATCTCCCCAAGACGTAACTGTGACGTACTTGTGTTTAAAGCTAGACACAGATATAAAAAATAACCAATGATAGAGACAGGATTTGTCTCCTGAGATTATATATATATATATATATATATATATATATATATATATATATATATATATATATATATATATATATATATATATATATATATATATATATATATATATATATATATATATATATATATATATATATATATATATATATATATATATATATATATATATATATATATATATATATATATATATATATATATATATATATATATATATATATATATATATATATATATATATATATATATATATATATATATATATATATATATATATATATATATATATATATATATATATATATATATATATATATATATATATATATATATATATATATATATATATATATATATATATATATATATATATATATATATATATATATATATATAATATGTGTAATATATATATATATATATATATATATATATATATATATATATATATATATATATATAATATGTGTAATATATATATATATATATATATATATATATATATATATATATATATATATATTACACATATTATATATATATATATGACAATGTCAGACCACGGAGGAAAATGAAACGGGAATTTCCTTATAAGGAAATTCCTGTTTCATTTTCCTCCGTGGTCTGACATTGTCATATATATATATATATAATATATATTAATATATATAATATATATTTATTCATGATGAAAAGAAAACAGACTGATATAATATTGACCATGTTTCCTTTTAATTAAAAAAACAAAGAATTTTTGAAAGCATCGTCACATTCATCAACAGATCGAAAATAGGTTACAACATCATACACACATATATACAAGCAGGTATATAACATATCTCTACATATATATATAAAGATCATGTATACGACATACCCATTAGTTTATACAACCAATTATAAAAACATGCAGAGTCGCAAAAGATGTACCAGTCAGATGTAGTTTGCTTCAGTGTGAGTTGCTTGTAAAACCACGGGCATTAACTGCTTAAAAATCTATCAATCCCATCTAATTGAGGTAATCCTCCCAATTAAGCAACCGAAGCTGAGGAAACCAAGTGCTACGGCAATTAGTTGGAGCTTAATGGGCTCAATATTTGACGATTTTTAAGAATATCATATAATATATTATATCATTTATCACTTTAATTTGTACCATCATAGGATATATTATATAATTTATCACTTTAATTTGTACCATCATAGGATATATCATATCATTTATCACTTTAATTTCTACTATCAAATAGATTCTACTACTGCTATTACTACTATTAATAATAATAACAGTATGAGAAAATCAGGAGCAGTGACGAGGATTCGAACCTAACTTCTGGGTACTCCCAAGCAAACGCCTTAGCCCACTACACCATGACATCGTAAAAAAGGCTTACAACTTGGAATTCAACTGAATCCTCGAGGTTTCCTGAGACTTCCACTGATTAGGTTAGATTGGGCTTAGTTAGACAAGATTAGATCAGCTCAGGCTATGTTAGATTAGGTTAGGTTTTATTAGGGTAGGTTAGGTTAGGTTTGCCTATTGCCTATTAAGATAGGTCAGGCTAGGTTAGATTAGGTTAGGTTTTATTAGGGTAGGTTAGGTTAGGTTTGCCTATTGCCTATTAAGATAGGTCAGGCTAGGTTAGATTAGGTTAGGCTAAGTTTGGTTACATTTGGCTAGGTCCTATTAAGCTAGGTTAGATTTGGTTAAGCTAGATTAGATTACATTGTGTTAGGTTAGGCTTAGTTAGATTAGGTTAGGCTAGGTTCTATTAGGTTAGGCTAAGGTAGGTTAGGCTAGATTAGGTTATATTAGATTAGGCTAGGTTAGGTTAGAGCTAGTTAGGCTGGCATCGTTAGATTAGGCTAGGTTATGCTAAGTTAGGTAAAGATTAGTTTAGATTAGATTAAGTTAGATTAGGCTAGGTTATGCTAAGTTAGGTAAAGATTAGTTAGGTTAGTTTAGATTAAGTTAGATTAGGCTAGGTTATGCTAAGTTACGTAGAGATTGGTTAGGTTAGTTTAGATTAGGTTAATTTAGATTAAGCTAAGTTATGCTAAGTTAGGTAAAGATTGGTTAGTTTAGATTAAGTTAGATTAGGTTAGGTTATGCTAAGTTAGGTAGAGATTAGTTAGGTTAGTTTAGTTTAGGTTAAGTTAGATTAGGCTAGGTTATGCTAAGTTACGTAAAGATTGGTTAGGTTAGTTTAGTTTAGGTTAAGTTAGATTAGGCTAGGTTATGCTAAGTTAGATAAAGATTAGTTAGGTTAGTTTAGATTAAGTTAGATTAGGCTAGGTTAGACAAGGTTAGATTAGATTAGGTTCAGATAGATTGTATGCCAAAATAAAGACCGTAGAAAGCAATAAACACAAGAGAGAAACAAAGATGTTACAGGTGATTGCGATACAGTTTATGAGATGTGTGGCATATTTATTGATGATGGCGAAGATTTATGTTGATGCTGATTCAAGAAAATGATGAAATATTGATGATGTTGAGGAAGATTAATAGGCACTAGCGGTGACACCGGTGCCAGATGATGATGGAGCAGTGACAGAACAGGTAGCAGTAACTGCAGCACGAGCAGTGAGAGTAGCAGGAGCAGAGGAGTTCTTAAGAGTGAGTTGTTAAAATGTTCTTATTACTTATAATTAACTTGAGTGTTTTCTTGGTCGTCTGCTACATGTACGTCCTCTTGGTGTTTGCATGCTCTCTCTGTTTGTTTCCTTGTTTGAGTGTGTTTTATTGTTCTTTGCTGTTTGTTTTGTAGTTTTAATTCCGTTTTTTGTTTTTGTAATTTGTTTTTGTTTTCTTGTTTGTTATTATTTGCGTGCATTTTGTTGTTTGAGTGCGTTGGCAATTTATATTAATATTTAAGGCAATATATTTAATTGTTATTATTTTAAGTTTTTATGTAAATTAATATTGACGGAGCTGTTTGAGGTTCCCCCATGGGCCACCTTGCTCATCTTCTCCAGGATGCAAGTTATAATAGTTGCTTAAGTCCTGGGTGAACAGAGGCGTAAGGTGAAAGACGTGTCTCTCTCTCCTATTGTGGGAAATCAAAATTGGGACATTGAAATTCTTTGGGTTTCTGATTACCATTTGCGGTATCTTTGAGATGATTTCGGGGCTTAGCGTCCCCGTGGCCCGGTCCTCGACCAGGCCTCCTTTTTATTACACCCCCTCCCCAGGAAGCAGCCCGTTGCAGCTGTCTAACTTCCAGGTACCTATTTACTGCTAGGTAATAGGGGCATAAGGGTGAAAGAAACTCTGCCCATTTGTTTTCGCCTCCACCGGGGATCGAACTCGGAACCTCAGGACTACGAATCCGAAGGGCTGTCCACTCAGCTGTCAGGCCCCCTATAATATGCTGACAGGCGTCTCCCTTAATTGTTTCTCCCTTATCCTCGCTTTCACTGACATCATTTATCGTGTAGGCTACACGAAAGGGGGCTGCATACTCATGAATTGGTCTCATGTAGGTGGTTTATAGTGATCTGAATACCTTTTTATAGGTCTCTTGAATGATATTCTGATCTTTAATAGTGTAGTGTATAATGCTGATGTTATATGATACATGTGTGTGTCTCTGGCGGTAGGCATTTCATTATTAGATCAACATGTTTGCGTCATCTTACACTTGTTGGTGTTGAAATCTAGTTACCATTTCTCGGACCAATTCTGTAGTTTGTTTAAGTCAAATTGGAGTAACTTATAATCTTCATGTGTCGCGACTCTTCTCGTGTTCTTACCTTGTTGTGCTTGCAAGGGTTCAGCTCTGGGTCTTTGGTCTCTCAACTGTAAATCAACTGATGTACAGGTTCCTGAGCCTACTGGGCTCTCTATCATATCTACACTTGAAACTGTGTGTGTGTGTGTGCGCGTGTGCGTGTGTGCGCGTGTGCGTGTGTGTGTGTGTGTGTGTGTGTGTGTGTGTGTGCGTGTGTGTGTGTGTGTGTGTGTGTGATTGGGGGGGGGGGAGGGTGGGGGTAGGGGGGGGAAGTGATGGCGACGCAAGCAAGAGATTAGAGCCAGTTACGCTTGGGCCAGCGACCAGTGTAGTTGTGGTGTGTGTCTCTCTCACAGGACCCTCACTTCCCTCCCTCTCCCTCTCCCACCCCATCCCCCCCCTCCCTCTTCCACCCCCTCTCCCATCCCCTCTCTCTCCCTCCATCATTACCCTCACCCATTACTTTCACCCTCGTCTCTTTTTATCCATCTCTTTCATCTATTCAGCCTCCTTATTTCAGTTCCCTTGTTTTAATCTATTTTCCCCTTACCTCTCTTCCCTTCCCTGCCTCTCCTTCCTTCCTTTCCTCCCTGTTTCTTCTCCCCTTCCTGCTTCAGCTCTTTATTTTTCCTTGGAATACTTTTCTTGCTACTTACGCTTTTATTTTTGTTCCCTTCCTCCATTTTTATACCTTAATACCATACTGCTTCATGTGCCTCCCTTTATCCCTCCCTCCCTACTTCCCTCCCTCCCTCCCTACCTTCCTGTTCCTCCCTTCACCTATCTCGTTTGTCACACTCTCCAACACTGTCTACTTGTCTGTGGTACTGTCTCTTCCCTATTGTCTACCTGTCCCTTAAATGGTGCACTTCTGTCTTTGCAGCATTGTCTATCTGTCTCTTAAACATCGTCTCTCCAACGCTGCCTGTCTCTTACATTCTGTGTCGTCACCACTGTCTATCTGTCATTTAAATACTGTCCAGCACCTGTCCACATGTCCCTGCTATACTGTCTATCTCCATGTGCATCTTCAAGATGTCTTAAAGTTGCAAAATGCTTTGCTATTTTGACTTCACTTTCATGCCATGTTCTGTTGGTGGGTGATGGTGAGTGAACATGACGTCCTCATCACACACCATCGGGGTCACTGTCATTATAGTCATCGTCATCATTACCGAACGTTTTACCCCTCAAAATCATCATAAAATTCATCACCTGCATAGCCATCATTGTCACAATCCCAGACCCATCATTGTAATCTCCGTCACCATCACTGTAATCGGTTGATGAATATCATTTTCTTTTACTCAACATTACCATCTTCATTATAATCATCAGCATCTTTATAATGAGCATCATCCTTAGAATCACCATCCCCCAACATTATCACCATCATTTCTACCATCAATATAAACAAACATCATCACTTAATAATGATTACCACATCCATTACCGTAACAGATGTTGCAACCGCAAATGCAACATTGAGTTGATCTTGAGTGAAGTAACAACAAGGTCGGACCTCTGCTACTCAATACACTTCCAGCTGTCCCAGGCAGACCAAGAGCCCTATATCAGGTAGTTTAAGATATATATATATATAATATAATATATATTTGTCTGTGCTGTGTGTGTGAGGATCGCGAGGGTTGTTGAAGCCAAAAATAAAACCTAATGTTAAGAATCAGTGGATGAGGCACAGCGTCATGGCCTTCAATGAAATGTGACGTGAAAGGCGGGTCTCGAGAGCTAACGCTCGGCTGTGTCGCACATATACGTGAGTAGATATATATGTGAGACTATACACACATTCACAGACACACACACATACGTAGAGACACACGCAGCTAGGCACAGAGAAACGCCATGTGTGTGTGTTTTTGTAACGGTTGCTGATCAGAAGTCAGAGTGCGGTGCTTCTCACGGGAATGTCGCCAGGTAAACAAAGGTGCGGTGTCTGGTCAGCAAAGTGGGGGAGGCGAGGAATAAATTCCTCTTCCCCCAACACTAAACACGCATGGAACGTAAACTCTCACACCTGATGTGTAACGTGGGTGAGAAGCCCCACCTGGTGCACCGCACACAATCCCCCTCTAGAATAGTTTTAACTAACTCCTCGTTGGTTTCCACACTTTTGCGTGTGTGTTTTCTCTTAACAAAATGCTGCGTGAAGCCATTAGTCATGGTTGGGAGCGATTACAGCATCGTCGGGGCTAGGAGCTGTCTGAATACAAGCCTTCCCCTCCCCCCCTTGCAACAGCTACTAAATGCAAAGAAAATTATCCATTTTGTCTAGCAAGCAGAACTATGATAACGTACAGTTTGTGTGACAGAGCATGTTCGACCATATGTAAATATTACCACTAAGAACGACCTGTGCTGCCCTTGGAAACATTCTTTTGAAATAACCAAACTTCGAGATCAGAAGCTGTGCAAATAGTCTTTTTAGCGCGTGCCCTCTTTTCATTCTGTCTCTCTCTCTCTCTCTCACCCTTTAGTTGTGTGGCTTTTTTGCGTGTGTGTGTGTGTGTTTGTGTGTGTGTGTGTGTGTGTGTGTGTGTGTGTATGTGTGTGTGTGTGGACATGAGAGGAGCCCGACAACGGTTGGTTTCTTGTCGTGACGTGGACAGGCGACGCCGTGATCTCCTCGCCCCCGTTCCCAATATACTTGAAAAACATTTTGTCGTTTGAACACAAGCTTTCTCTCACCCGATGACCTCATTCTGATAAACAACATGTGGTAAACACCTGCCCGACTGTCCCGTATTCCTGACCAAATTAACCCCATCTTATTCAGGGCTTCTCAGCGTGTGAGGACAAGAGAGCAAGCAGGTTATGCAGGGTTGTCGTCAGTGTTCGTCGTCAGTGCAGCGACGATTGCTCTCTTAAATCAGGCTTATCTATTTCTGAAGGCCTGATACAGTTCCAGCCCCGCTCCTGCGCCAGTAAGTCCACGTTGGGAGAGAGACTTCCAAACTTACCACGTAAAGGCATAGACAAGATTCGTGTTTTTTCAAGGCGTTCATTTAGTATTGGGAGAATTCTTGATGAAGAACTCGAACGAGGGTTCGATCCTTTGATATAGCCTCAATATTTTAGTATAGCTACACATTCTCTTGGTTTCATTGACACGTGTTTACATAGCCTCCCCCGGCTTGGTACCTTCTATTGATAAGTATTTACTTGTCTTACAGCGCCGTCAACACAAGGTCGCCCCTACAGCATGGGGGGCACCATGGACATCACTTATGAAGGGCTCCTGTTGGAACTAACCACCAGCACCCTCCCGCTCGACCTCAACGCCACTCTGGCCGGCGGGGGGCTCCCTGGCACCTTCGGGAACGTCTCCTGGCACTCCTGCGACAGCTCCGAGCCGCTTCTTATGAGGGAAAACTTCCCTAACCCAAACCTGGAAGACGCTTTGCGCCTCGACGTGTACGAGAGTCTTCAGGTGAGCAGTGCGTGAGGGCGGATGCGTCGTGGGTGAGGAATGTCATGTGCAGTGAGAGACTCATCGGAAAGTGATGAGGGGAGGCAGAGAGGGAGAGAAGAGCGAGCATGTGTGAAGGAAATAGAAGGAAGGGAGAGAGGAAGGACATAGTGGGAGGGAGAGAGGCTGGCGTGAGAGGACAAGGAGCTGGGATATGAGGACAAGGAACTGGGATATGAGGACAAGGAACTGGGATATGAGGACAAGAAACTGGGATATGAGGACAAGGAGCTGGGATATGAGGACAAGGAGCTGGGATATGAGGACAAGGAGCTGGGATATGAGGACAAGGAGCTGGTATATGAGGACAAGGAACTGGTATATGAGGACAAGAAGCTGGTATATGAGAACAAGGAGCTGGTATATGAGGACAAGAAGCTGGTATATGAGGACAAGGAGCTGGTATATGAGGACAAGGAACTGGGATATGAGAAACAAGAAACTGGGATATGAGGACAAGGAGCTGGGATATGAGGACAAGGGGCTGGTGTATGAGGACAAGGAACTGGCATATGAGGACAAGGAACTGGCATATGAGGACAAGGAACTGGTATATGAGGACAAGGAGCTGGGATATGAGGACAAGGAGCTGGGATATGAGGACAAGGAACTGGTATATGAGGACAAGGAACTGGGATATGAGGACAAGGAGCTGGTATATGAGGACAAGGAGCTGGTATATGAGGACAAGGAGCTGGTATATGAGGACAAGGAGCTGGTATATGAGGACAAGGAGCTGGTATATGAGGACAAGGAGCTGGTATATGAGGACAAGGAACTGGGATATGAGGACAAGGAACTGGGATATGAGGACAAGAAACTGGGATATGAGGACAAGGAGCTGGGATATGAGGACAAGGGGCTGGTGTATGAGGACAAGGAACTGGCATATGAGGACAAGGAACTGGTATATGAGGACAAGGAGCTGGTATATGAGGACAAGGAGCTGGTATATGAGGACAAGGAGCTGGTATATGAGGACAAGGAACTGGGATATGAGGACAAGGAACTGGTATATGAGGACAAGGAGCTGGGATATGAGGACAAGGAGCTGGGATATGAGGACAAGGAGCTGGGATATGAGGACAAGGAACTGGGATATGAGGACAAGGAACTGGTATATGAGGACAAGGAGCTGGGATATGAGGACAAGGAGTCGGCAGGTGGCGCTGATGGTGCTGGTCGTGGCGATGTCGGTGAGCGGCAACCTGGCGGTGATGGTGGTGGTGTACCTCAACTCCTTCCTCCACTCTACCATCAACTACTACCTGGTCAACCTGGCCGTGGCTGATCTCCTGATTAGCGTTTTCTGCTGGCCGACCCTCGCAAACCGCCTCACCCATCCACTCTACCTCCTTGGACGACCTCTCTGTAAGATCAGCGTCCTTGCTCAAGGTAAACCTCCAACGTAAACCTATGTACTCAAATCTTTAACGTAAACCTTCAATGCAAACTTTCAGCGTTATTTTTTACGGTAAATATTCAAGGTATACCTTCATGGTACACCTCCAAGGCACTCCTCCAAAGTACTCCTCCATGGTACTCCTCCAAGGTACTCCTCCAAGGTACTCCTCCATGGTACACCTCCAAGGTACACCTTAATAGGGGATTCGAGGCCATTTACTGAGCGTTTTCAGATTAACAGGTGTGAACATGAATTACATATTAAATATCAAAGACAGGTGTTGAACATCAATGACGGGTGTTCAATATCAGTGAGATCTATTAAAGAAGATGCTAAACTTGTTTAATATATGTGTTAAGGTGTTAATGACAGGTGTTACACGTCAATGACAGGTGCAGGAATGTCAGAGATAAGAACCCCTAAGCCAATTACGATTCAGGAAGCGTGCCACTTTGGGAATCTGTCATTGGATGGCATTTAGTAAAACTGTCATACGATTCCCAACAACCAAAGTATGAGGTTATCAGCAAGTCCTCTGTCTTTCACGAGAGGACAGAACAGGTTGGACAAGTTTCCAGTCAGCACAGAGGTACCCAGGAGTCATGCAACAGTTGTGGGGTTGCATCCTGGGGGATTTCAGTAGTTCGACCATGCGGGGTACAGGCTTTCTGTTCCTCCGACGATGAGAATGATTTCAGTGTTGGTTGGCAGGGACGTGTGTGACCGTGTCGGTGTTGACCCTGGCCACGGTGGCGTGTGACAGGGTGTACGCGGTCCTTCTGCCCATGAGGGCGCGAAGTTCCTCTTCCAGACCACTGACCATCATCATCATTCTCTGGCTCTTCTCCTTCGCCGTCGCCTTCCCTTCCTTCTACGTCAGGGAAACCAGAGTGTTTCAGGTAAGTCCACTCTCACCTCTACTTGCTCTGCACTACATAGAATTACACACAGAAATCACAATAGCGTGATGCATCAAATGAACAAATCTACAAGGGATTTATTGTGGATACAACCCAGACGCTGCCTCAATCATCTCAAGATAACTTAAGAGATCTCAAGAAGAGATAATTTGTCAATTAAGGCAGCGTCTGGGAGCCTCTTGGAGGTAGGATCCCTCCAAAGGATACCTGATCAACCAGGCTGTGACTCATACGTCAGGCTGCGAGCAGCCGCGTCCAACAGCCTGGTTGATCAGTCCGGCAACCAGGAGGCCTGGTCGACGACCGGGCCGCGGGGACGCTAAGCCCCGGAAGCACCTCAAGGTAGGTTCGAACCCTCGTCACGGCCCTTGTGGATTTGTACATAGAATTATGTGTAAATGTATTGAATGTAATGTACCATCCTCCACTACGTATTGACTTACCCTTTGCCTGTTTAGCGCTCGAACTGGAGAGTAGATTGATGGTCTCGCTTCCAGCAGGTCGACGTTCGGTAGAAGAAAATAAAACCCACGACCGTCTAAGTGGTTGGGCACTATACTTTACCACTGTCTTATTACAAATCCTTGTTCTCATATCTCTTCCAAGTGTTATATAGTCGTAACGGTTAGGCTTTTCTCTTTGTAACTGCCTTACTGCTCCCCTCTGCTTCTGTAGATGCTTAAGAGAGCTTTAGCGAAATTTTATTTTAATCATCTATCCATGATTGCTGACGCAATGATGAAAAGAACATTTGCTACCGCCTTCCTCGTAGCCCTTTTGAGGAAGGGCTATGATAAAGGAGGTAGCAAGCTGGTTATGCCATAACTATGTTGGCTTAAACGCTTTCTCCTCATAACTGTTTTAACAACTTTCTACCAAAAATTTGTTGAACAGATCTTTCTAAAATGTTCTTGATATATCAACATATTTTATTCATAATAACATTCCCTAAACTCTTTCATAAACATAAAAAACTAACTAGAACTAATAGTACACAGCACTGGATAGGTACTGGGGATTAATAACTCACAACATAGTTCACAGGATGGGTACGTAGGGGCATCACAACTCACAACACAGCTCACAGGATGGGTACCGGAGACACAACAAACCATCCCAACTCGACTATATATCGATTATGCAAACTAATTCATGCAACACCTTATATTTCTTACAATCTCATATTTCCACAAATTTTTGCACTCCACGAAGTTGTCTCTGGTTCTAAAATACACCTGTAATACAGATGACATTATTTCCGGATTGAAACCCGAGTTATAAAACTGTATCCTTCCACAACAGGAAGCTAGCGATGAATTTATAGGTGAGGCAGAGTCGTAAAGCCGAGCTGTCAAAACCCGTCTGGTATTGACACAGAGGGCTACACACGGCACTCTAGCCCCTGTCTGGTGTCTGGGGTTGACACAGAGGGCTACACCTGGCACTATAGCCCCTGTCTGGTGTTAGTACAGAGGGCTACACCCGGCACTCTAGCCCTTGTCTGGTTTAAATGTCTGGTGTCTGGGGTTGACACAGAGGGCTACACCCCGGCACTCTAGCTCCTATCTAGTGTCTGGGGTTGGTACAGAGGGCTACACCCGGCACTCTAGCCCCTGTCTGGTGTCTGGGGTTGACACAGGGCTACACCCGGCACTCTAGCCCCTGTCTGGTGTTGGTACAGTGCACTACACACGGCACTGCAGCAAAAGGTCTTGGCATCACGAGACATGTACCCATCACAGTTTCTTTATAGTAGACGATTTGTGACATGTATTTGCAAGTTAAGAGCTTTCCCTTACTATAGTTTAGATAAGTTTTATCATTTAATTTATGAAATTCTTCTTGTAATTAATCCACTATATTGAGACACGACTTAGTGATTCAGCGGGATACAATCCGGAACACGCGCGATTTGCTGTAGAGAACTTCAATCGTAGTTAGGAGAGTAGTTGTGCTTTTCGTCTAGGGCTGAGTCGTGAACAGCACATAGAACTACCACACTAATTAAGTGCCAACTACAGAACGGGGATTTTCCCACCAGCATCACAGGTGGTCTGCTCCTGCCTTTGTAAAGCATACCCAGATATATATACACCAATGAGATGACAGATCTCATAATGAGCCAATGTCAGAGTGGCTCTCGGAACGTTTAGGAAGAGTGTAACTTCCCTACACGTGTAAGGAGTGTAAAATGATCCACAACTAGGGAGTGACTTATGACCTCAGTCTTTGTGGACTGACCTCGCCTGGTCGCTCAGACAATCCCTAGAGAAATCATAAAGTCTAGATCCTTAGACTTCACACCTCAGCCAAGTCTGTCTGTCTCTGCACCAAGCTCCTCATGATGATGACTTCTCAAAGCTGAACACTGTGTTCTCATATTGCTGATCTTTTGTCACTTGTAGAATCTCACAGGAACACTATCGTAGAATAGTTGAACTGCTCACATGTGCTCTATCCGATAATAGTAAATACAATATTCAACCCCCATACTATCCTGTTAGTGGTAGTGGACCCCAAACCCATCCTGTGAGTGGTAGTGGACCCCTAGACCCATCCTGTTAGTGGTAGTGGACCCCAAACCCGCCGTGTGAGTGGTAGTGGACCCCAGACCCATCCTGTGAGTGGTAGTGGACCCCTAGACCCATCCTGTGAGTGGTAGTGGACCCCTAGACCCATCCTGTGAGTGGTAGTGGACTCCAGACCCATCCTGTGAGTGGTAGTGGACCCCTAGACCCATCCTGTGAGTGGTAGTGGACCCCTAGACCCATCCTGTGAGTGGTAGTGGACCCCTAGACCCATCCTGTGAGTGGTAGTGGACCCCTAGACCCATCCTGTGAGTGGTAGTGGACCCCTAGACCCATCCTGTGAGTGGTAGTGGACCCCAGACCCATCCTGTGAGTGGTAGTGGACCCCAGACCCATCCTGTGAGTGGTAGTGGACCCCTAGACCCATCCTGTGAGTGGTAGTGGACCCCTAGACCCATCCTGTGAGTGGTAGTGGACCCCTAGACCCATCCTGTGAGTGGTAGTGGACCCCTAGACCCATCCTGTGAGTGGTAGTGGACCCCAGACCCATCCTGTGAGTGGTAGTGGACCCCTAGACCCATCCTGTGAGTGGTAGTGGACCCCAGACCCATCCTGTGAGTGGTAGTGGACCCCTAGACCCATCCTGTGAGTGGTAGTAGACCAATGTTAATCCCGCAGGTGATAGTGGAAAAGAATGCAGTAACACATAATAGGTTCAGGAACCGCAGTTAAGTTTTACTAAATCTCACAATTCATTTAGATAAGCAAGTTACAGTCATAAACTAGTTACATACGTCAATGTATATATATATTAAGTCTTTCAAGGCACAGATCATTCAAGAACTGCATCACAAATCTCTAAGCCGAGTAATTTACACCTATTGTGAGCCAGTTACAAATATTCTAATTTACTAATCAAGCACCCATCCAGTGGGCGGTGGTGAAAAGTTTGCAGCTATGTGTGTGGACTGCCCTCAGTGAGCCACCTTGCGACATTTGGCCAAAATTTCTGATTGGCACATCATTTTAAAATAAATACTTAAACCTACCTTGAATATTTGTAATATAATTACTGAAATCAAATTTTTCCCTCACATTCAGTAACATAGTGATGTGTGTGAGTAGCTCTGCTGGAAGAGTTTACATTTTAGTCAGGTCTGCTTCAGCAGGAGGTACAGACTCCCAAAGACACTTAGAGCTTAAACCCTAGCATTAGTAACGTCCAGAAGTCTGGTGATCTTGTTGTATAAGTCCTGTTTTATAATGCCATCTTATCTCTGCATTGGACGTGCGCAGTGGAACGACCTGGTCGAGGAGAGCTGTGGAGACATTATCTGCACCGCCGCCCACCTCCAAGTCTTCACATACTACCGCATCCTGGTACGCCCTAACTCATCACATTATAAAAATTGTAATAATAATAATTCACGTTTGTCGGGTAAAGGCAGCCTCTACATATACATTTATATATGCTTGAGGTATACTGACAATATGTGCAGCTTGTGTCAACATACTTGACGATACATTGTGTTGTCATTCAGCACATCTAGTGTTTCCAGGTGTTTCATTACTTCACATGTTGTTACTTCAATGTCAGTCTCTCCCCTTGGTGACCTTCTTTCATACAACTGAGAGGTGTTCAGGCGGCGCCAATATCTCATGGGAACTGCCAGGCACTTAGTTCTTCCCCCTGTTGTTTAGTCTGGTCACTTGCACCCCTTCTTGATACCATCATGTGTCTATATAGAATTCTTGGCATTGGAGAATCTGTGAGAATTCTCATGTGTGCGGATCTCCTCTTATGTGTTTATTCGTTCCTGGCTCTTTTGCACCTGTTTTGGGTCTCTTCTATCCCCTGTTCTCTGTATTTTTGTTCTCTCTACCGCTCTTTCTTCTTCCTAACTAGCATGACCTGTTAAACCAGATTTTGTTATATCCACTGTGCCTCTTTATCCTTGAGTGGTGTAGTGTGTGTCTTCACAACCTCCGTGGCTCTCATGCTCATTAATCAATGTTCTCTTCCACATTTTCCATCGAATTCTTTCGCTCGTTGTGTGTGTGTGATGTGTTTTTGCCTGTGGGGTCTGAATGTTTGTGTGCATGACTCAATACCAGATTGTTTGTCTTCAGAAGCAACGCTCTAAGCCATTAACCTTGACTTTAGTACGTACAGAAAGATGAATTAATTGTTTTGTAATATTTGATAACTCAGTGTTATTTTACATATCCATGAAATAAATAATTTATGATATCCATTAAATACATTGTAAATGAGAAAATAATGAGGCCATACAATGTGATCGAACCAGCGTCCCTGGCCTCCCTTGGTTCATAAACACAATATGCGCTTGTGATTTCATTGTACAAGGTATAAATAGTGTGTGTGTGATGCAGCTGCTGGCGACGCTGTTTTTCGTGCCCGGGGCGGTGATGGTGCTGGCCTACACTCTCATAGTATTCCGTCTGTGGTGTGTGAGGCGGGGACCTTCCGACCCGCACAGCCAGGCCACCTGCCCGGAGCCCCACACCAGAGCCAAGCGTAAGGTCAGCTATCATGAAGATTATATATATATATATATATATATATATATATATATTATATATATATATATATATATATATATATATATATATATATATATATATATATATATATATATATATATATATATATATATATATATATATATATATATATATATATATATATATATATATATATATATATATATATATATATATGTCGTACCTAGTAGCCAGAACGCTCTTCTCAGCCTACTATGCAAGGCCCGATTTGCCTAATAAGCCAAGTTTTCATGAAATAATTGTTTTTCGACTACCTAACCTACCTAACCTAACCTAACCTAACTTTTTCGGCTACCTAACCGAACCTAACCTATAGAGATAGGTTAGGTTAGGTTAGGTAGGGTTGGTTAGGTTCGGTCATATATCTACGTTAATATTAATTCCAATAACAAAAAATTGACCTCATACATAATGAAATGGGTAGCTTTATCATTTCATAAGAAAAAAATTAGAGAAAATATATTAATTCATGAAAACTTGGCTTATTAGGCAAATCGGGCCGTGCATAGTAGGCTCAGAAGTGCGTTCTGGCTACTAGGTACGACATATATATATATATAGCCCCCCAAGGTGGGGCTTGGACCCTAATTCGACCGCTGTAAACACATGTAGGCGAAACCACAAACACACGCAATACTGACCATACACATACAGAACTCTCTCTCTCACATAACTAATTTGCATTAACGCTTCAATAAATTACCAATTACCTTCTCTCATTAGAACACACCACAGCCTCTACACTGTTCCGCCCAAACATAATAAATTAATTAAAAAAAAAGAGTTTAACTAAATTAGACTTAATTGAACGTTTGGTTATCAGACTTTTTAACACAAAAATATTTTATAACGTCAAACCTTTTCTCCTAATGTAGTAAATATAATTAGTTCTTACTGTTTGTTAATTTTAATAATCGTATTCCTATAGTTATCAATTTAATTTTATTTTTATTTATATTTTTTTATGTAATATTAAAATAATATGTACTTATATTATGTAATAATCTTGGTTATGATAAATAATTATATTATTTAAGTAGTTTTATTAATATTATATTATTAATAATATTAAATAGTTACATTATATATGATTAGGTTATTTACAGTTTTATTTACAATAGGTTACAATATTTAGATGACACTAACTTGGGTGTGTTGTGGTAGATTGTGAAGATGACCGCCATGGTACTTCTAGCCTTCACCGCTTGTTGGGCGCCCCTCCACTCCCTCATTATGTACGACCTGGTCGTTGACCACCCGGTACGTGTCTTGTATTACCCGAACGTGTCTTGTATTACCCGGTACGTACCTTGTATTAACTGGTAAGTACAGAACACTATATACGCAGTATGGTTGAGTTACCCCCGTAGGTATGCTCTGTTTCCCGTTTCGTATGATATACTATGATAAAAATGATGTAGTTTATTGTATACTACCCGTAGGTATTAATATTCTACCCAGTAGGTATAATATACTACCTGGAATGTATTTTACAAGTATTAAGGAAGTTAACGTGAGTTTAGACGTGATGGGGGATTGAATCATGTTAAGTTACTTTGAAGGATATTTGCTCAGACCTCAAGGATGACAGTTGGGTCAATGTGCATTCAAGTGGACTACGATATATGCATCTTCACGACACTCTGGATTAATGCCCATTTAGCCATTGTTTGTGAGGACGGGCTGTTGTTTATGAGGACGGGCACATGTTTGTGAGGACGGGCTGTTGTTTATGAGGACGGGCACATGTTTGTGAGGACGGGCTGTTGTTTATGAGGACGGGCACTTGCTTATGAGGTCCGATAGCACAGTGAGTAGAGTCTGTATGTTCCAGATGCCGGACTGGTTCGAGACTGCGCTCTTCTGGGCCTACTGCCTCGGCTACTCCAACTCCGCTCTCAACCCTCTCCTCTACGGCGGCTTCAGCGACAACTTCAGGCTGGGCTTCAGGAAGATCCTGGCTCGCTGGAGGAGGACTTCAGGTACTCTCAAGGTCTTACAGCGCCGCTGTTGTGGTTGACGGCCCTCTGCCTGCCTCCTGAGGCACTGCGACGAGGGAGGTGGCACTCGTCTCTGTCTCATTTGCATTATGTCTCATCCGTCTCATTCCAGCCCGTCCTCTCGAGCTAACACAATGGACAGAAAATATAGATGTACTAACAGATCGAACTTAACCTAACTTAGCCTATCGATCACTCATAGAAAACGTGAATGTTTGTAAGCCGGTACGATTAATAGTATCCCTTTATTCGTCCGTTAGGGATTTCGATGTTCAAATGTAATGTATCATGTGAGAGGACAGGTTGCTCCATCACCCTTCAGCTCCCGCCCTACCCTCAACTCCTCACTCATAACTCACCTATGTCCCTCACCCCCTACCTCACAAGACTCCCTCAGCCCTCCTCTCTCTCTCTCTCTCTCTCTCTCTCTCTCTCTCTCTCTCTCTCTCTCTCTCTCTCTCTCTCTCTCTCTCTCTCTCTCTCTCTCTCTCTCTCTCTCTCCCCTCCAAGGCTCACAGTGCTCCCACAGCAAACTACAACACATAATTGAATTTGAGGGAACATTATTAATTTTGAATTATAAATATTTATTGTTATTTGACATAAAGCATTTCAGGTGAATTAGATACTATTTTGATTAATAATCTTCAAAGTGCGTATATATATATATATATATATATGTGTGTGTGTGTGTGTATATCACGAAAATAAACACGTGATTAAGAATGTGACAATGTCAGACCACGGAGGATAATGAAAAAGGAATTTCCTTAAGTACTTTCGTATATTAAATACAGATTCCTTCTGAAGATGTATTTAATATACGAAAGTACTTAAGGAAATTCCTGTTTCATTTTTCTCCGTGGTCTGACATTGTCATATATATATATATATATATATATATATATATATATATATATATATATATATATATATATATATATATATATATATATATATATATATATATATATATATATATATATATTTGTGTTGATGCATGTGTGTTTTTAGATATGACAACACTGGCCTTAATGAGCTTATAGTGTAAGCTTTCTATGCTTTGAGCTATTATTTTAAGCAACAGTATTAAGGAGAACAATCATATTAGCAAAATTCATGGTAAAGAAACTTTTGTAATCATTGAAGGATTTATTTTCTTCAACGTTTCGTTCATTCTTCTCTTTCAAAAAGTATAATATTAATGAGCAATGAAATTTATGTTTGGGTTCAGGGAGATAATTTTGTTCTGATGACGAAAAACTCTTCGGGAATCTCCACCAACATTTCACTAGTGTCCCGAATTTAATCCTTGAAGAATCGAATGGGGAGGTGTCAATAATTACTAATATTTATTAAATAAATAAATGTCCTTCCCCGAGCAGCCTATGTCCGTCCCATACCCCCAAAATATTTGTCCTACAAATTTGGGTGTGTGTGAGTACACTCAACAATTTCCCATACACTACACTCACTTGGCTACACTCTCCCAGGATCTTAAGATATCCACATATAACAGGTCTTAAGATGTTTACATGTCTCAGGTCTTAAGAGATGTCATAACTGGTATATACATTGTTTTGTTGTTGTCTGTTGGCTCAGTGTTGCTAAAATTATTCCCCATCTTGCAGAGGCGAGTAAGGTTGTCTCGGAGCACGATTATGACCCCATGTCTTGCGAGATCACCAGTGTGTAGTGATGTGCTCAACTTGTGCTGCCACCAATGTGTAGTGATGTGCTCAACTTGTGCTGCCACCAGTGTGTAGTGATGTGCTCTGATGTGCTCACCTGTTAATTTTACTGTGTAGTGATTTGCCTAAATGTGCTTTAACATGACTGCTTCCTGCCACCATCAGTGTGCAGGGATGTGCTTCAATGTGATGTGTGAGTATTCCCTGTGACAGCTAGTGTATAGACAAGCACTCTGATGAGTCCCCTCACCTGTCAACCTTGGGGCCCTGGAGTGACGTGCTTTTAACCATGCCTCACGCTTCAAGACATCTGTTGATAATATTGTCAAATTCTTTCTACCTCAAAATATTTTTCCCGTAAGGCCCTTAACTTTAGCCAACGTAAAATAATGTAGCCTAACCCGACGTCTGACTGACTACGACGTCTGACTACGACTACGACTACTGACTACTGACTACTGACTATGACTACGAAATCATCTCAAGATAACCTCAAGATAACGACGCTCGACTATAAGTGTCATCTCCTAGCAAGAGAACACACAAGCCTGTAAACTATTATCGAATCAGTCCACATTCTTGGTTTTCCACCACGTATTTAATACTGAAATACAGAAACCCAGAACCAGCTCCCCACTAGCTTATATTTAGCGTATTTCTACGTTTAGGAATATATATCTACGTTTCTATCATGAAACCCGTGTATCTTGGTCCCAAGTGTTTCTCATCTTAAACATTGCCTCTTTATCCACCCTTTCATTTCCCCTTATCTCCTTATCGTTATTAGCATGTCTTCTCAGTTTCTTCTTTCCTTCAATGTTGTGAGGGTTGAGTTCTCTCAGTCTCTCTCACTGTCATCTCCTTCAGTTCTATGACAAGTCTTGTTGCTTACTTCTGAACTTTTAATATATTTGAATGATGTGATCACGTCTTTTTTATTTCTTATCTCTTCCAGTGACGTGAAATTTAACTTAGTTTTTCCTCGTAACTCTATCACCACCTCAACTCTGAGACTAGCATTGAGGCATGTATCTAAACTTTCTCCAGATAATTTTTATGTTTATCTAGGTATGGACACCACACTGGTGTTGCATATTCCAGAATTAGTCTGACATATGCGGTATACACAGATCCTGAACGACAACCTGTTTAGATTCTTAATGGCTATTTTCGTGTTAGGAAACTTCGCATATGCAGCTGATGGTGATTAGTTGTAATTACAACTTCAGATAGCGGGTTCTAATTATCATGAGAGGTCTTATTAGCTTTGTGTTCTTTCATGATAATTATCTGAAGTTTCTTTGCCCAAAACTTAGCCAGATCGTATGTAGTATTTTATAAGTAATTCTAGCCAATTTTATAAGTAATTCGAGCCAATTCATAATATATAGTATTTCAACCTTAATAAAAGTCTTGAAGTCTAACTTGGTGTAATTACATTAATTTTTTTAACTTAAGAAATTATCTAATATTTTTATATTTCCGCATGATTAAAACCGAATGTATAATAATAGTCTTTATAAGACTTAAAGTAATAATGTAGTAATAATGTAAAATAGCAGCCATAGTAATGTAAAAAAGTCTAAATAGAGTATTGTCTGACCTTATTATAGATTATATATGTACCTATTCATCAGTAAAACTAAGATAACATTCCTGGAAACCGTACTAACAAAAGATCACTATCTTTCCATAACTAAACCCTAATCTCTCGTTCTATCAAGTTATCTTCTGAATAAAGACTTTTTGAGCATTAGTAAATCTATACAGCATTTTTTAATAGGTATTAACATAAGTAGTTATTAGCCTTAAATACTACCCTCTTGGATACGGTCTTAGTGACAGAATCTACACTAAGATAAACGGTTTAGGTACACCTAGAGGTGTGTGTGTTGCTTCTGTGTAAATTCACAAATTGTTTATGGCTAGGTATGGCTTGTGTAAATAACCGACCACACACACACACACACATGTGGAAGTAACGACAATTTCGGACCGTCCACAGCTTGATTCGTATCCAGGAGGGTCCGAAACGTCGTGACGTACACGTGACTCGGTTGGGTGATTTGTTTCAGCTACGTTATTATGACGTATCCCCATCTCACACACACGCAACGTAACATCGACGCTTTTTATAACGTTCTTACGTCGCGACAACGCTGCGTCGTAATATATATATAAAAACGTACTCTGCTCAGTGACGTATACCCTACAGTTTTCTTGACGTTGAATCGACGCTCAACGTCGATACTGTGACTACTGACGTCCTGAACTGGACATAACTAAGGGGATCTGGCTGGCTATGGACAGAAACGTATATTTTTACGTGTATGACAAAGAGTAAGGTATACTGCTCCTAGTATGACATGTTGTAAAATATGCTTCTCTTGGTATGACACTAAGGTATACTTCTCCTGGTATGACACAGATTAAATTACGTCTGGTATGACAGAGTAAGGTATATTTTTCCTCGTATAACATAACCTAAGTGGAAATATACTACCTCGCAATACTTCATGTTCCATGTTTTATATAAATATATTCAATGTTTAAGATCTAGATCCAATGTTTAAATTAATTCTTGCTGTGTTTAGATTATTTATTTGCAATGTTCATCAGATTTATTGCAATGTTTATCTGATTTATGGCAATTTTCAACTCATATATTGTAATAAAAAGTGTGTATGACTCAACAATATATTGTTACAGGGGTGTAATAAGAACTCTATGTATTGAAATGTCCATATTAAACATTATTGCAGCTGTTGCTATTGCTATGGGTACTCAAGGGGACGCTTTTTTCAATAAAAGTGTTTTGTATAGCCTCTTGTATGTGGATTTTGCTTCGTAGGTGTAACTAATAGTGTATTGTATCCCTAGTAGGGTTATGTAGGTATACTATGGCCTCTGTAGAGGTATACAGCATAAGTTGGGTTTTTTTCTTTAGAATACTTTTGTCTTAATTGCGAATTTTGTTGCAGCCACATTTAAATCAACTTAATTATTGCCAAATGTGTTGATGAAAAGCCTTTCATGGTGTCAGAAGTCCATGAAGGTAATGTCTTCCGTTATTACACATTGTTTACTGATATTTGTGTGAATATGATGTGTCTCAGTGGTAGCCAGACGAGTAATATTTCATTACTCTCAACAGACCAACACCACAACCGCAGCGCGGGTACAGCGTCCACCTTCCTCTCTCGGTTCCCAATCTCCAGCAGGACATCCAACTCGATCTCCCGTCAGACCTCCGGTTCACTCCCCCGCACACCTTTCTCCCATCAGACCTCCTGCTCCTCCCACACGTCTTCAGGCTCTGCGAACACCTCCCATCCAACGTCCAGCAGCGCTCCTTCACGGGAAACATCCAAACGCAAGCAAATCACCAACCAGAACCCAGACGTTCTCTCGAGACAGCCATTGGTGGAAACGAATGAGCTTAGGGATGCTGACACTCCCTCGGGTATGGGACAAGTCTTTAGCATTGAGGTAAGTCAGAAGAGCCAGCAAGATTCCGGTTTCAAGATAGATGGCAAACTTTGCCCCAACCAAAGCCACGATGAGGGTGTCGGAGCTCAGATTAACAGCATTTTGGAAGGAAGCAGCACAGGTTCACTGGGCCACGGGACCACTGGGATAATCAGTAACCAGTTGAATGACACTACTGAGGGATATGACAAGACCCACGTCGACCACATACATCATGGAAGACCCAAGAACGCTTTGGACCCCAAGAACCATTGAAATCTCAAGAACAGTCTGGACCCTTCGAACCGTGGCAGAGTCAAGAACACTCTAGACCCGATGAACTATGGGAGTTACAAGAACAATGTGAATCAATGAACCAGATTAATCTCGAGAACAAAACGGTTACGACCGTATTAAACGTCATGTTGTTCTGCACGTTGAAGAACAACTATTTCCAAACAGTGATTTACTACCCCCAGAAGAAGACCAATTGAAGAACAATGAAAAGAACTATCATCAAAGGAACGTTGACTTTCAAACACGATGATAGATTCATCAATGAACACTAAAGAACAGTAAATAATAATTAACCAGCATAGAACATTAATTTAAGGTCCCTAAGGAAAATTTTTAATAAACACTGATGAACAAACTGCTGTAATTTACTTAATACAGACAATTAACATATTAATAAGAAACACTTTTTATTGAAAACTGTTAAAAAAGTTAACTTGATATATGCTATATATTGCGGAACTCTAGAAACTCTGGAAACGGAACTGCGAATAGGCTGGAATTGAGTGCAATATATTGAGTTCGATATTGGGAGTTCGAATATTGAGTTCGAGCTGGGATTCGAACGCTTGGCTTCTTAGTTGTAAGGCCAGTACGAAAACCACTCCACTATCCGTCTCGTTCAGTGAACACCTGTTAGTGGCAAAACACCTGATGAGTGCTAGTGACTGAATAGAGAACACCTGTTAGTGGCAAAACACCTGATGAGTGCTAGTGACTGAATAGAGAACATCTGTTAGTCGTAGAACACCTCACATTTGCTTGAAGGTCAACAGTGATGTTCTGTTCGTTAGTAGATGAACAGAACAATCCAGTTAGTCTCCATCGAACGTCTCCAAGTAGGTAAACCTGTCAACTAATCTTTGAATAAGACTTTAATTGGGTACGACCTCTAATTAATCATGTACGTTGAATACTACTGGTGGACACAGTATGCTGGTCTGAAGAAGTTACAATATTTGGACACAAACCACAGCTGTGTCAACGATACAAAATACAGCCTTCTACGGTACATACTAGAGCGTTGTGCACTAATCTCTATGTGTCAAGGACTATAGTATACTCCACTAGATTAATGTACTAAATATTTACACTTCTAAATGATGTATTTCTGAAAATACAACTAGTTATTAATACAAATTACAATAAAATACCAAGATGCTTTATTCTGTATTACTGCAAACACTAATGTTTTGTAAAGCTTCAAAGACGAGGACATACTATAGCCAGTTTCCTGCTGCTAGTCCTGAGTTTTTAAGAAACAAGGTGGTTTGAGATTTATTTGCCCCATCCTGGAGACACTGGGTGTAGAGCTCCACCCTGGAGACACTGGGTGTAGAGCTCCACCCTGGAGACACTGGGTGTAGAGCTCCACCCTGGAGACACTGGGTGTAGAGCTCCATCCTGGAGACACTGGGTGTAGAGCTCCACCCTGGAGACAATATACATGCCAGACGAAGAAGAAGACAGGCACTAGCAAGCACTGAGAAGCACTGCCAGTCACTGCCAGGCACTGCCAGGCACTCTCGACCACTTGCTCGATACACCGTCAAAAAAATTGTGTATGTACTCGCCTAGTTGTGCTTACAGGATCGAGCATCAGTTCTTAAGCCTTACTCTTCCGACCTCCATCAATTTATTACTGTACCCTTTTTTCACTAGTGTAAATGTGCCTTAGGGTCACGCTTTCGGTATCAGAAGTATTACAAACTCAGCCTTCAGACAACATACAGTCTCCGATTTGACCTCTAAACACGTTCAGCCCACACGTTCCTAGTTGCTATTTACACTTAAAAAGCCTCACTCCTCAACACAAACATGAAACTTATTCCAGATAGATGTGATTGAACTCTTGAATACCACACTAGCAATAATCAGCCACTCTTGATAAATCTCTGTAGCCAGAACAAGTCCAAAAAGAGATTCAAAGTAAGAATATATCTATGTATATCTATATATATCTATGTATATAGGCAGCGGTAGGTGTCCACCACACAAAATGAAGAAGCTTTATTCTACATTTTGTTCAATATATATTCTATATTTTGTTGTATTCAGTTCAACGGCTGATATGTGTTCCCACTGATGGTTCATGGTCACTAGGGCTTCTGTCATCCTCTGATCTCAGTAAGGTAATTGTGGGGGAAAGGAGCTATATGACAGTATGTTTATATATCACAGGAAAGGGAAAGATTATGAGGGCAAGTACTGGAATATAAAGATGTGTGTGAAGGTACCTAACTATTTGGACCATGGGGGGATCGAACGCCGACTTTGCAAGAAGCAAGGCCGTCCATGTACCGACCAGTCCAAGCGATCTCGGGAGACGGTTCCCATCATAGTGTTTTGGTCTGCTGGCCTCCTGTTGCCTGCATTTATTGTCTGCACTTTGCATTTGCTTGTAATAAAAGTTCGCCAATTTTGGGGCTTTTTATTCTCCAGATTAACTAGTGTCTACTCCTGTTGACTCGCCTTGTCAGCTGTGGATTGGCTGATGAAATAGATTATAACATATTTTTTTTGTTCTGCTAACTTTCTGATCTGTGTAACGTCACAAGCTGTTAATGATCTGATATCATTAAGAGCTTGTGAAGCTGTTAAAGATGTTATCTTACTCTCTGCCTCTGCTCCATTCTGCCATCGTCTTCCTCGCCTTCTGGACAATGATAACAATGGTTCCTTACGTCTCTCTGACTTATATTGTATAAAAATCTAATTCCCAGCTGTGATCTCTCCCGGGTTGTATCCTTGTGTATCTTCTGTGCCTCTATCATGTCTCCTCTGGCTCCAATCTTTCCATGCGAAGTGAGGATAATATACTTTAATCTGTCCTCATACTCCAACTTTCTTATTTCTAGTTTCCGTAACGTGAAAAACTTAATGCAATTTTAAAGTTTACGTTAGTTCTTTATGAGGCTGGGTGCCACACCGGTGCTGCATACTCAGCCACCGGCCTCACATAGATGGTATACAATATCCTGAAAGAACCCATGTTCATGTTCCTGAAGTCTGTTCTTGTGTTTGTGAAGTTAGTATACACCGTTGATGTTTTACTGTTTACGTGTTCCACCGGTGACGGTAGCCTCGTGGACCTCTACAGTTGCCTCGTGGACCTCTACAGTTGCCTCGTGGATCTCTACAGTTGCCTCGTGGACCTCTACAGTTGCCTCGTGGACCTCTATAGTTGCCTCGTGGACCTCTACAGTTGCCTCGTGGACCTCTACAGTTGCCTCGTGGACCTCTACAGTTGCCTCGTGGACCTCTACAGTTGCCTCGTGGACCTCTACAGTTGCCTCGTGGACCTCTACAGTTGCCTCGTGGACCTCTACAGTTGCCTCGTGGACCTCTACAGTTGCCTCGTGGACCTCTACAGTTGCCTCGTGGACCTCTACAGTTGCCTCGTGGACCTCTTCCTTGACTGCTGACGGAAGACGACTTCCTCTGGCATCACAGTTGTCGTATAGTCTCTTGCTTCCTGTTCCACGTCCTCCTTGTTCTGCGTTTGTTGAAGTTGAGATCAAGTATGTGCTTACTATTTGTTCCTGCAGGATCGAGCGGTTAGCTCTTGGGCCCCGTCATTCTAATAGTCGGTTGTTAAATGAATTGACTCACGATCTGTTTTCCTCTATCGTATCTACTACATATATTTGACTCACGATCTGTTTTCCTCTATCGTATCTACTACATGTATTTCTCACTCAAGTAACATTCACACACATCCCCAGGATGCAGGCCGAAGCAGCTGTCTAACTCCCAGGTACCTATTTACTGTTAAAGAGCCAAGCGCAGTTAAGGATGACAAAGTATAACTAACAATTAAAACAAAGTTTAAAGACATGTACACATATGACTGTAGAGAGCATGGGAAATGTGTTAGGTGTGAAGGGCAGAGCCAGGGGCCAGATTCACCAAGCAGTTACGCAAGTACTTACGAACGTGTACATCTTTCCTCAATCTTCAACGGCTTTGGTTACATTTATTAAACAGTTTACAAGCATGAAAACTTGCCAATCAACTGTTGTTATTGTTATCAACAGCCTCCTGGTGCTTTGGAGCATATTAACTGTTTAATAATTGTAAACAAAGCCGCCAAAGATTGAGAAAAGATGCACAGGTTCGTAAGTGTTTGCGTAACTGCTTCGTGAATCTAGCCCCAGGTGCTTAGCGGGTCTCCCCACTCAAAATATAAGCCGTCGTGCCTTGTCGTGGCAAAGAACAACCAAGCTGAACATGTTGAATGGTTGAGGGACCCTTCAGTGAACATGACTTGTGAGAGAGAGTTTGCTATTTAAAACAAATATTAATCTAAGACCATGAAGAATTTACATGCTGCTCCACCAATCCTCGCTTTCAAGAACTCAACTTGTCAAGAACGCAGGAGAGCGGGATGACCTCCCGGACGCCTCTTTTATCTAGTATATAGACTCTTGTATCGCAGCCAGAACGCCACAGTTGCGCAGTTGAGGAGTCCTGCAGGAAGATTTGAAGGATCCCGAGTGTAAGAACACGTGGCTGCCTGATAGAGGCCCGCTGCCCACCACGTGTTCCTGCCACATTGATATCAGCTGATAACCCTTGCGTGCGAACCTGGAGAGTGTCGCGTGAGGCAGTGAAGCCTGCTCTAGTGGGGGCGGGGAGAGTAGTGACGGTGGTGGTGGCCGAGTCCGTGAGCAGTGTCCAGCCTGCTGACCACAGCAACTGAGCCCCTCCCGATGCCGTGACTGGCCGCTACGATGAGTCAGTAGTCCGTCAGCGGCCGCCAGTGTGGGCTGGCTCGGACACTACTATTGATTACGAGCGGTAGGAGCTGGTGGAGCAGCCGAGCTGCCCGGCATGGCGGATAGCGCCGCGCTCCGCCGTCTCTCTTCTCTGGTGGCCTCTCCAGTCGCTCACTTGGATACTTATGTCGACGCCCAGAAGCTGTGAGACGCGGCCGTCACGCCCACGCCCGCAGGAAGCACCATGGGCGCCTGCATAGCCCGCTGCTGGCCACTGATCGCCGACCCCAGGTGAGCCAGCCGACACACGCCCCCTTCGTCAGGGCCAACAGCAGGCTGACACTCTTGACATAGCGGTTATCCCTGGCCCGTGTCAGCCCCTGTGTCGTGTCCGTGTCAGCCCCTGTGTCATGCCCGTGTCAGCCCCTGTGTCGTGTCCGTGTCACCCTGTGTCGTGTCCCGTCAAAGACTTAGTAACTGTGATAGATTTATACAATAACCTACCAATGTTTATCATAACTTTTGTATAAGCCAAAAGTCTGAATCGTATCCCAAAGTTACTTGATTTATGTTATTTTCCTGTGAATTACAAGACGACATTCGTTAAGACCAAATACATCCATTGTATATTGTATTATTCACAATAACTGGGGAAAAAATTATCAAAATAAGCAGCTGTGAAGAGTTGGAAATAAAACGAGAAAAAGTGTTGGGTTTGTTGACTGTGTGAACTAGCCATCAGTGCAGAAATGAGCAGATTATGTTGTTTGTCAAACGTGACGCAAACTGCTGACACTTGAGAGTAGTGACAGTCAGCGCTGTGACTTACGGCTGAATATTGAGTGCTGACAGGTAATTCTTGTAACATGAAATGATTATTTGCTGTGTGAGTTCCCTTGGTGTGGCAGGTAAAATGAGAAAAAAAGATACATAGTAGAGCGACCTATAGATTTTATTCCACAGCCGATAACAGTTACTATTTAATTCAATTAAATAAATAATGATCGCTAAAACGATAGGTTGTGATTCTTCGTACGACACCGGCTTCACAAAATTTAAAGTTCGTATATAATTTTGATTTCGGTCGTTTACTATACATCGCTAGTCATTCCTCTGCGTGTATAGACATTGTTTTTATTAGGGCAGTGACGTCACTCCCCAAACCGTCATACCCACTACAATCACCTGATTTAACCTGATCACCTGGGGCCAGATTCACGAAAACACTTACGAACCTGTACATCTTTTCTCAATCTTTGGCGGCTTTGTTTACAATTATTAAACAGTTAATGAGCTCCGGAGCACCAGGAGGCTGTTTATAACAATAACAACAGTTGAATGGCAAGTTTTCATGCTTGTAAACTGTTTAATAAATGTAACCAAAGCCGTCAAAGATTGAGGAAAGATGTACACGTTCGTAAGTACTTGCGTAACTGCTTTCGTGAATCTGGTCCCTGATTTGTATGGTTAGTTTAGTGGCTCATCACCTCACCCTCTACTCTTATTTCTTTTGCCATTCACCTTGGTTATCTTGAGATGATTTCGGGGCTTAGTGTCCCTGCGGCCCGGTCCTCGACCAGGCCTCCTTTTTTTCGTTACACGCCCCTAAGGAAGCAGCCCGTAGTAGCTGTCTAACTCCCAGGTAACTATTTTACTGCTAGGTAAACAGAGCATCAGGGTGGATGAACCTCCGCCCACTTGTTTCCGCCTCCGCCGGGAATCGAACTTGGGACCTGCGAACCCCGAGCGCTGTCCCGCTCGGGGTTCGCTGTTTCAGTGCTCACACGACTGGTTTCGTGTTGTGACTAATGCAGAACATCGTAAATTAAGCCATATTACTGTACTGCTCTGGGCTACAGTGGATTATCTGTTGATTCCATATTTGATCAGAAAACGGGTCAGTGATCATGTTGACCAGACCACACACTAGAAAGTGAAGGGAAGACGACGTTTCGGTCCGTCCTGGGCCATTCAATCGACTTGAGAATGGTCCAGGACGGACCGAAACGTCGTCGTCCCTTCACTTTCTAGTGTGTGGTCTGGTCAACATACTTCAGCCACGTTATTGTGACTCCTCGTCTGCACTGATGATGCAGGATCTCACATAAACTACTGTCACAGTCGTGGCTAACAAGCGGGTGCAGTCGTTATAATTTAGCTGTAGGAAATCGAGCCGTATCCTCTAACGAGGTAAAGGGATTTTGTAGTTCCTAGCTCCTCTCGTGGTATATTGTAGGGTCTTCCAGAAACACGTTAGATTGGTGACCCAATTAGACCAGTTCTGCCATTGGATCATTAATTTATTGCACGCGATGAGTCACAATAACGTGGCTAAATTTATCAAGTGGCACAATCGACTTGAGAGACGGACCGAAACGTCGTCGTCCCTTCACCTTCTAGTGTGTGGTCTGGTCAACATTTAATTATTATATAGACAAATTTCTGATTCCCGTTTTATATATTTGGACTATTATTAATAAAATATGCAGAAGAATGTGCTCAGACTGGCCCCATCCATCTGGGCTCTTGTCAGAAGAATGTGCTCAGACTGGCCCCGTCCATCTGGGCTCTTGTCAGAAGAATGTGCTCAGACTGGCCCCGTCCATCTGGGCTCTTGTGAACAATTTACATGTGGAATTTCAGTTGACTAATATTTCATTGATTGAAAACCCTTGTTATATGTATAAATAATTTGTTGACTGAATTAAATTATATAGATTTTTCTAAGCCTAAAATAAATAAACTGCTCTAGCTTGTCGTTTAGGACTTTTTCTAATTGGCAAATATATAGGTAAACGATGGTATAGTCACGGGATCTCCTCACCTTGCTTATTGCTTTTATTTTTCACGGGAGAAAGTTTGGTTTAATGATTGTCTTTTTAATTTTAAACCATTTTTGATAAAAGATATATTAATGTTACAAATTCACAAGGGCCGTGACGAGGATTCGAACCTGCGTCCGGGAGGGACGCAGGTTCGGGATGCTCCCGGACGCAGGTTCGAATCCTCGTCACGGCCCTTGTGAATTTGTTCATTTGATGCATCACGTTAGTGTGATCTCTGTGTGTGTGATATATTAATGTTTTTTTAATTAAATTATGATTCTCATATTTATTTATTTGGATTCTATTTCTACTTCAAATATTACAATATACAATTCACAGCAGAAAATTTTGTTTATCTTGAGGGATCATCATCTTTTTAGTGGCCTCGACGGGGACAAGAAGCCGGTGGCTTGTCAAAAGACCTCTAATTGTTTCTGAGGAGTTGTCCAACTGTATTGTGTGCTAATATAATGTATGAACTCGCTTGTTCTGACTGGTAGGTCAGATATATTGGAAGTAAAATTGTGAAAATGGAAGATTTGCATAAAGAAATCTGGGGCCAGATTCACGAAAGCACTTACGCAAGCACTTACGAAGATGTACATCTTTCCTCAATCTTTGACGGCTTTGGTCACATATATTAAACAGTTTACAAGCATGAAAACTTCCCATTCAACTGTTGTTATTGTTATAAACAGCCTCCAGGTGCTTCGGAGCTCATTAGTTGTTTAATAATTGGAAACAAAGCCGCCAAAGATTGAGAAAAGATGTATAGGTTCGTAAGTGCTTGCGTGAGTGCTTTCGTGAATCTGGCCCCTGGTTCCAGTTTTCAAACCATCATCACACTCCCTTGCTCACATACCATCGAATAATATCATAAGACTTCGAAATTTTAAGCTAAGTCTACCAAAAAGTTGATAAGAAGAATTATTTAAATTTAATCTATGAAATCAAATGAGCCTCAGATGAATCATCGTTTTCTTCCTTGTTACTTTCTTCTCGTTGAAATAATTGGCCAATTGACTTTAATCTCCCCTTGATATTGTTTCCTTTTATCGTGTTTTTTGCTCCCGGTTCGTAACTGTAATCCTTTCTTGTTGACTAGTTTGGGCTCATTCCAGTCTTGGCTGTGCTCCAGCACCAACCATAGGTGATATACTAAACATAATAGATACCCCTAAAAAGATTCATAGAAAACACCGACCTTACCTAACCTGATTCAGATTCAGATTCAGATGTTTATTCAGGTAAGGTATATACATACAAGTGATGTTACATTAATGGATTGATATATAGATAGAGCTAGTACATACAATGCCTAAAGCCACTATTACGCAATGCGTTTCGGGCAAACAACTAACTAACCTTGTTACTAACCTACTAACCTACTAACCTACTAACCTTGTTACTAACCTAACCTAACCTACTAACCTACTAACCTACTTGTTACTAACCTAACTCACCTTGATACTAACCTTGTTAGTATCTTAATATAAGAATCTTATTGCTTCGTAATTACAATTATTACTTAACCTATACCTATTATAGGTTAGGTAATAATTGTAATTACGAAGCAATAAGATGCTTATCTTAAGATACTAACAAGGTTAGGTAAGGTCGGTGTTTTCTATGAATCTTTTTAAGGGTATCTATTATGTTAAGTATGTCACCTATGCACATATTTAATAAGTCAATATTGACTTATTAAATTTGCGAGAACGGGTTGCCAGCACGGTGCCTCACCCTGGCAGCTCCCGTACTTTCTTGCTTTCAGGTTTGTTAATTGTTTTTTTTCCAACGTGTTTCGTTTCACTTTCATGTCAATCCTTATAATTGAGGATTTACTTGCTTTAACAATTAATTTTTTGTATTCATTTCTAAGTGTCCTATGCTGACATATTTATGTATAGTGAAAGTACGTGCCCGTGTTCGATTCGGCGAAGTTGCTTGTGTTCGTTTCCCCTCGTCAACATTTCCGTACATAACCCCAGGGGTTATTCACGAAGCAGCTACGCAAGCACTTACGAACGTGTACATCTTTCCTCAATCTTTGACGGCTTTGGTTGCATTTATTAAACAGTTTACAAGCATGAAAATTTGCCAATCAACTGTTGTTATTGTTATAAACAGCCTCCTGGTGCTTCCGAGCTCATTAACTGTTTAATAATTGCAAACAAAGCCGTAAAAGATTGAAAAAAGATGTACGGGTTCGTAAGTGCTTGCATAACAGCTTCGTGAATCTGGCCCCCCTGTTATGATGTCCCTGACGTGTGTCTTAATAGTTGGCTGACAGCCCTGACAAGGGATATGTTCACAGCGTCGAACACACACACACACACACACACACACACACACACACACACACACACTCGGCGTGAAGACACTGAACTACCACCGTAGTTCAGGACAATGTTGAAAGACTAAATTAATCTTTCTGTTTGGTTAGTAATCAATTACATTGGCCTTAATAACCCTCCAGAAGTTAATAGGCCCAACACTAAACCAAGAGGACTGGGCTGGTAAGAGTTTGGAGTGCCAGTGATATCAGTTGGGCCGAGTGCCAGAAGCCACCTGGCACTACCAGGGGGGGGGGGAGCCACACACCTCCTGCCAGCCACTACCATATGCAGCCTGTCATTCATTGACGTTTCAACGGGTAGTGCAGTCGGGTTCGTGCTCTACTCACAGTCAGGAATTCTGGGTTCGAATCCCGGGCGGGAGAGAAATGATTGGGCATGTTTCCTATCAACTAACGTCTCTGTTCACCTCAATATAAGCATAACACATGTATATATATATATATATATATAATATATATATATATATATATATATATATATATATTGGCTGCCTGTCCCCCGATACAATGATGAATGGTTATTATATCTGGGGATTTATACAGGGAAAAAATTCCTTATCTGCCATTCACCTTGTGTCGTGATTCTTAAATGTTTATTTTATACCTGTGTGCCAATCTGTATGAAGGAGAGCTTTAGTTCCTGGTACCCGGCTTCCAGTCGGTCGAAAGCCTATTTCAATGGCTCAAAATAATTTTTGATTATAATCACTCGTTATCTTGGAATTACTAACTGCCAATCCTCCCAGCTCATTGAACCTTCTCTCAACTCATACACTCTGTCAACAGTCACTCATAAGATCGAATATCCAGCGGTAACTTTCAGTCAATAATCTCCCACAGTCGAACAATCCACCGTCAACAATTGCACACACACAAGGTTCACAACTTGTACCTCTGACTTGTTATAAAGGAATTATAACTTGACTTTCTTGGTACACAAGAAAGACAAGTTATAACTCCTTCCTTTTCACTCAAGAAACAAACTAAAGAACAAGCTCCGTTTCAAGACAAAGTACAAGGCCTTAAACCAGACTGACTGTCCACAAAGTATAACTTCTCAGACCATAAACACTGATGGATTCGTAGGCCATCAGTGCATAAGGTCTGAGACGTTGCTGGAACTGCGTTCCAGCAATGCTCCTCGACTGGTGTTGCGGGAATGCAGTTGTGCAGATGATGAGTGATGGCAATTGCTATCAATAGGGAGTCTGTATTAACAACTTAGTTTGAACTTAGTTGAACTATTTCCCATACTCCTTGCACTCCCTGTGCAAGGAGTATGTGTGTGCATCTCTCCAAAACTGACATATTGATTGTAAATTATCTCTCTTTCCATAATTGTGCTCAGTTTATTTTTTTTAGGAGCAATTGTAACAATACTCGTGTGTGAAAATAGATATACATCAGAAGTATTAATGATAGTGACATGGTAAGTTTCATGTGCATTCTATCTCGTGTTGGGCTCCGAATGCCCGATTGAGCTGGAGTTATGGATTTTCTTCCCATGAAGTTCTTGCTAGTTGAAAACTGTGCAAATATAAACCTTCACACACACCCTCTATAACCGTTTGATGCAATGCGAAAAGTTTTAGAAAGTTAGTCATGACTATTCCACAAAGTTCAAGAAATATTGAGTCAGTTCATTAAAAACTTTACATTATATACTTGGGTCTGACTCCAATATGTGTGATTTTTGTTAAGTTTTTTTCCTCTAGACACACTTGAGCTGAAAAATGCCTCTGTTCTTCCAGGTACCATCCAGTGAGAGGCCGCTACTTCATCCAGGACGACACTGTACAGGTGAGTCATTCAGGATGCAGCTGAATTTCTCTCCCCTTTGAGGGGGACATGATCACTACATACATAATACTGAGAGGAATACAAAAGGTGGGCAGGAACGGCCTCTTTAAATTGGAAAATATTAGATAAGGGAACGTAAGTGGAGGCTACAGAGGGGTACAGAGGAACTCAAGACACTCAAACAAGCTGTAGAGATCTTTACCAATATTCTGTACCGTAAGATTAGTAGGAAAATACAATAAATTCTGAGGCGTCAGAAGGCAATTCATTCCATTATTTAAAAAGCTCTTATAATAGGAGTAATGTTTGTGCTTATTGCATTAGACAAACAGCAGCTGAAAAGGTGGGACCTTGAGCTGAATTCGAATTCTGCAAGCATAAATAGGCAAGTAGAAATCGGCAAATGCAATTAAGAGAGTGCACACACACACACACACACACACACACACACACACACACACACACACACACACACACAGCTACGAGGAGAGACTACGGGAATTAAACCTCACTTCGCTGGAAGACAGAAAGTTAGGGGGGACATGATCACTACATTCAAGATTCCGAAGGGATTGATAGGGTAGATAAAGACAGTCTATTTAACACAAGGGGAACACGCACAAGGGGACACAGGTGGAAACTGAGTGCCCAAATGAGCCACAGAGATATTAGAAAGAACTTTTTTAGTGTCAGAGTGGTTGACAAATGGAATGCATTAGGAAGTGATGTGGTGGAGGCTGACTCCATACACAGTTTCAAGTGTAGATATGACAGAGCCCGATAGCTCATGAATCTGTACACCTGTTGATTGACGGTTGAGAGGCGGAACCAAAGAGCCAGAGCTCAACCCCCGCAAACACAACTAGGTGAGTACAACTAGGTGAGTACACACACACACACACACACACCAACACAAACACACCTGACCAAAGAGCCAGAGCTCAACCCCCGCAAACACAACTAGGTGAGTACACACACACACACACACACACATATCATATACTGATTCCCATTAATGAACAGTGACACACTGAAGACTAGGAATATAAGCAGAAGAGAGTTTTTTCTTAGCACACCTCGACACCCCCTCTCAGACACCCCATGTTAGCACACCCTCTGAAAGAACCCTGTGAGCACACCTGAGAGCACCTTCTGAGAGCTCCCCTTAAAAACACTGACACAAAAATAAGCTAATATGCTTATAAATTTTCATTGCAGTAAAAATTTAATTCTAGAGACAATTTAACAAGTTAATTTTTCCCTTTTGCAAGCAGCTCGAGTTCATTGGTGAGGAGGTGAGTTTTAACCCTATCAATCTTATTGTTCTTATAGGAATTATTATTATTTTAAAACTTTATTATACAAATATAAGTGATATTATAAATTAGTTAAAAACATTTAAGCATGCAAATATGATATTATCGCAATCACAAAAACATGTTTCATGCTGATGGGACAATTGGCTAAGACGTGAGATAGCAATTTTAAGAAAAATCTAACGCATCAAAACAGATACTAAGAAACAGTTTGGATTTATATAAATTAATCTAATGAAAACCTAATAATATGTCTATGGGATATCAAGCCTGAACAGAATATTTAATGTATCTGCATGTAACATCGCTGTTGTGGGTGACTTAAATTTTAATCAAATAAATGGGACAGACATAACAGGAAATTGAGGCAGAAGAATCTTTTGAAGCAGTCGAAGACTGTTTTCTCAAGCGGCAAATTATAGAGCCAGTCAAAGAAAACGGTATATTAGTGCTAGGATGAAGCCATGTATAACTCTGAAAAAATACTCCTTATTAAAATACTCCTTATTAGAAACTTGGTCTAGCAATAAAGATATATGAACGTGAGATTAAAAACTAATTGCTTACTCTTTTTCCAATTAAAAAAACAGATTATCTTTCAATTGCTTTATCAAAGTAAAGGACAATGTTAAGGGAAAATGATAGCAAAGAGGAATTATTAAGTCAGGATGACAAAGAAATCTAAGTAAAATTCCAATTTGTTTTTCTTAAGCATCGCATCAATTTATTGAGAGCACTGAGACGCTGTCAACAGACTCGGGTCAAGTGGTAGATAAAGACGAAATAAATGGCATTATAACCCTGTAATTTATCATCATCTTCACGAGAGGTATATTCGTCAAGATATTTATAACTGAACAAATGTTAGAAGATAACATAAGATAACAGATTAAATTAAAAGTTACTGAGGATGAAGTTAATAAATTTAAACCTAAACATGAGACGCTAGAAGGCCTATTGTCCCATGCGAGACAACTCCTGTTTACACCAAAGAAAACTTGTCTATATATGTCAATCCTTCGCTTGAAACTGTCCTGCTATGTTCTGTTGTGACCCTGTAATTTATTTCACAAATCAACAACTCTGTTTCCAAACCAGTATTTACCCAGGTTTCTTCTGACTCTAAACATCTCCAATCTATATTCATTATTTCGTGTTTTTATTATATATATATTTAGTAAGTTATTAACATTTTCTTTTCTTATGCTCGTTAACCATTTCGTATACGTCAATCTAGTAATTGCTTTTTGCTTCGTTTTTGTTGAGAATGTAAATTATATATGTAGACGAGGAGTCACAATAACGTGGCTGAAATATGTTGACCAGACCACACACTAGAAAGTGAAGAGACGACGACGTTTCGGTCCGTCCTGGACCATTCTCAAGTCGATTGTGAGAATGAATCACAGTCGACTTCAGAATGGTCCAGGACGGACCGAAACGTCGTCGTCCCTTCACCTTCTAGTGTGTGGTCTGGTCATTAGAAAACAATAGTTTCAAATTAAGATATTGAAGTGTAGGAAAGATGTATATAATCTAGATATAACTAGATATGTGCGGGTGAACATATATATGAGTTGTCTCTTATGGGGCAATAAGCCTCGTGAAGTTTCTTTTCTCCGTATGTTCTTAAGTTTAGTAAATAGGCAAACATTTGTTCGGAAACAGGATTGTAGATTGGGCACCATTCCTTCCCCCTCTCACCTTTCATACCAAAATCCTTATCCTGACCCCCTTTCACAAGAAAACTCAATTTAGCATTTTCTTGAGTCCAACCCAGCGGGGCGGGAACTGCTCGCGGAATTAAACGGTCGCCAATAAAAACGAAAAAAATTTGTTGCTAACGAGATCATCCAAAGCTTATTGGCCGAGATCTTTTTATTGAAGTAATAAAGGGTAGTAAAGACCCGTGTGCCCGCGGGTACCCAGGCCACTCGGGGAGGTAAAGTTCAATCAAAATTTGGAAAATAAAATCTTCGATTCTGAAATGGTGGAAGTAATGACCCAGTCGGCGATTGGCGAATCTTATATTTTTCTAACGTCATTTTTTGAGGGGGGGGGTGAATTTGTACGTTCAGCGTGTGATTATATTATATTATATTATATATATATATATATATATATATATATATATATATATATATATATATATATATATATATATATATAATTTCAAAACTAAATATACTGAACTGGACATCTTGGATTTTGTGTTCAATTACCAATCCAACCATTTTTTAAATGGTCTATTTTACAAAAAAAACATAGATAATTGGGTCACAAACTGGAGGTTGTGTAAGCAGCCTATTTACAATTATTTACAATTGTAAACAAAAATTATTTTTTACATTTTTTTTCAATTTTTCTATTTACGACTCGGTAAAAGTCTAGTCTGAAATCTGACCCATAGATGCTGCTTAATTAAATAGTTTTACTATTACATTTCACTAGGAATAAACTTTATTAAGTTGTAAGTTATAATCACGGTAGTAAGGTATGTTTAAGTAGTTGTAGCCGTGGGCCAGAACCTTCACACGCTCAGAAAACCTTTCACGAAGTCGGTTGATAGTGAAATGTTCGGTCTAAAATCCGCAGAGTTTATCACTCGAATAAATATTAGTGTACTCTGATATTTACAACACAAGTTATCATTGATTTCATAAATAGTAAAATTTCCTCGCGGTTTAATGGGTTCTGGAGGCTGTGAGGCGGGCCAAGAGAGCTGAAGCTCAACCCCCACTTACAAGTACAGTTAATTGTATGCACAAACCTCTTATACTCTTATAGCATGGTAAAAGAACCTTAGAATTTCTTGCCAGAATTATTCCCTTAAAAATGATAAAAATCAAAATTTTAAAACTTTATATTAAACTCTGAGAGAAGCCATGAGGGTTGTGCTCGGCGAGGCTTTGATAATCTTCCAGAACGTGATTACGAAAGGTGTTTAGCGGAGCGGAAGCCTCCATCCTGGGGCACGCGTCCACGGCATTTTCAGGGCCCCGGTTCGAACCCCAACTGCAGAAAATGACCAGTTTGATCAATGGGTTAATACACGCAAGAGGAAGCTTGGCTAACTCTTGTTCATACCACATGAGGATGCCTAGCTTGTATAATAAATGTATATCTGTGTCTCCGGCTTCCACCCGTGTCCTCTGGTCCTGCCTCATCTGTGTCTCCAGCTTCCACCCGTGTCCTCTGGTCCTGCCTCATCTGTGTCTCCAACTTCCACCCGTGTCCTCTGGTCCTGCCTAATCTGTGTCTCCGGCTTCCACCCGTGTCCTCTGGTCCTGCCTCATCTGTGTCTCCAGCTTCCACCCGTGTCCTCTGGTCCTGCCTCATCTGTGTCTCCAGCACCCACCCGTGTCCTCTGGTCCTGCCTCATCTGTGTCTCCAGCTTCCACCCGTGTCCTCTGGTCCTGCCTCATCTGTGTCTCCGGCTTCCACCGTGTCCTCTGGTCCTGCCTCATCTGTGTCTCCAGCTTCCACCCGTGTCCTCTGGTCCTGCCTCATCTGTGTCTCTAGCTTCCACCCGTGTCCTCTGGTCCTGCCTCATCTGTGTCTCCAGCTTCCACCCGTGTCCTCTGGTCCTGCCTCATCTGTGTCTCCAGCTTCCACCCGTGTCCTCTGGTCCTGCCTCATCTGTGTCTCCAGCTTCCACCCGTGTCCTCTGGTCCTGCCTCATCT